CTCAGGCCAGCGCTGAACGAGGCGCTAAAGGCTTTGGACACACTGCCCCTTGGCCAGTGTTTCGGGTTTAGGGTTCGTTTGATTGCCACCCAGTCGGATGTTCTTTGGCAGATGGTTCGGCTTTTGTGCTTGCTGCTGGGCACAGCAGCTCAATTCTCAATGCACCAGACGTATGGATGCCGAGCATAGGATTTAACCACCGAAGCCCTAACTCGCCAGGTCTGGCAAGGAGATTGCCGAGGTGAAGGCCAGCCAACCGTGAATAGGCTCATGGCTGTCGCTTACTCTCACATCGACTTGGGACACTTGTGGGATTCTGGCAAGACATCCTGCTCGCTGATGTGCTGCTGTAGCTGCAAGCCTGCTAATCTCATGCAGGTCGAGGGATGCAGGACATCATTGCACTTGCTGCTTTACAAACCCTGTAGGATTCCCATTGACATGATCGAATGCACAGCAGGGTACGACAGCTTGCACCCACAGAACCCCACAACCTCAGAGAAGCTTACGACTTGCAGTGCCTACCTTCCCTACCAACCCCCTGAGGCCATGAAGAACCCCGCAGCACCTGTCCGACTGGTTCTTTCCGCCGTCTGCGTGCTGCGCAATGCTGGGGTCACGGCAGGGTCGAGAGAGGCTGCATTGAAGGTTGAGGTTTGTCGAGTGCGCAGCCTAGGGTGTCCAGCAAAAAGCAGGTACAGTAGGGTAGTTTCCTAAAAAAGAGTCCCTCTTGGGGTACCCAGTATAAGGCGGCACCCTTAAAGAATGGATCCCAAAAAGGGACCCTAATTTAGAGAACTACCCCAGCAAGCTGTTCACCTTTCTGAACCAAGACCAGCATCATCAATCGCATGGCCGAGGTGAAGCCTGTGCGAGTGAAGGATGAATCAGGGAAGATGGCCTGGATCCTGGAGAACGAGATCCCGGGATTCTGGTTGCCTCCCTCCTCCCTCCCGCACCCAAAATCACATCCTCTGCATCAGGGCTGGGCTCCCCAAACGGATTCTCTAGTCGCCGGGAACTGGCATCCCAGGCCCTAGCAGGAAGGCACGGAACATGATGGATCTGCGAGGCAGCATGCAGCAAGGTAGACAGCGCAAATGTTCCTGCGCAAGGTGGATGACTTCTGGCCGGCTGCAGTAAAGATGATCTCCGACATGGGGTTCCTTCAGTCTCTGCCCGCTCCTTACAGAATGGCGGGGTAGTTTTTGAAGTCTTCGCTTCAAACTAAGTGGGGACCTGAATTGAGACGCTTCAGAGGTTTGACGTTTTTTTCTGGCCTTGTCGTTCTTGGTACTTGTACTCCACAGGAGCAGCCTCTTGCAACGTTGACGCCAACCGCCAAAGAAAACTGGTTGATTGAATCCATGCACAGCTTTGAAGGTCGTGCCAAGCTCGCGTCAAGCATGTTAACCACACGCCAGCCGCCACTCAAATCAGGGGAAGCCTGACAAGCTTGGCCATAAAGGCCGCACTTATCGGCTTCGCCGATAAGCTGAATTTATTCCAGGGGCATGGTGGATCTAAGCCCAAGCCCAGGCAGACGTTTGACAAGGACAACATTCCACCGGTGCTCCTCCCTGTCTTATGCGCGTTGGGGAAACATGGGGCGCTGAAGCATTTGCAGCTTGTTCACTGGCACAAGATTGCATACAACGGCATGGTTCGAGAACTTGTTCTGCCAACTTTGTAGCCACTCGCAAGTCATTTTTGGTTTCAGGATGTTTATAGTGCACTAACCTGGAGGGGCTAAGGTTGGGGTACAGGGGAGGTCGGCACTTGAACAGCAGTTTTGTGAAGTGGCCGGGTCGGTGTTTTTTGCATGTACCGGTGCGTGGGTCTGTGGGTGGAAGGTTGCTGTTCTTTCGGGACGTTGTCACGAAGTCTTCGCAAAGATGAATCCTCTTAGCAGAGGATTGTTGTCCCGGAAAGCCCCACTGTTCCGTTGAGCCGTAGAGGCCGGAACCCTAAACCCTAAACCCTAAACCCTAAACCAGTCTAGCATTTCCTGCCAGGCAACGATCAAGAAAATCGCAGAGTACACGGTGAAGGAGGATTTCCAGCCAGATCGTGCTGGAAGCTTAGCCAGTCTACGCCGCCATGTGAGGGCTTTCGTCCAGATCTTGTTGCTGATAGGGTTTAGGCGGTTTAGGGTTTAGGGTTTAGGGTTTAGGGTTTGCATGTTGAGTGCCGTGCACACGGCCAGCTGATGCAGTTGAGGGAGTTTCTGTGCGCTGGAGGTGCAGAAAGTCTCGACAGCAGCATGGGGTCCGCCGCGAGCGCGCTTTTGCTACACTTTGACTTGCCGAGCGTGCTAGAGCATTGTCTCTTGATCGTGTTAATATATAATATTATATATAATGTTCAATATAATATATAAATATAATATATATATATATACAAATATATAAGAGAGGCAGTTCATGGATGGGCGGCCTGAGCAAACGCAGCTCTCTACTGCAGCTTAGTGCAAGCCCTTGCGACTGAAGGAACCAACTCGTGGTTACTTTCATATTTCAGACTTGGCAGCATACTGGGAGTAAGGCGGAAGGGTGATCGAAAGGAGTAGCAGTAGGGGGCTTTTACAGGATGAGCTCTCCAAGAATTAACGCCAAAGCTGTGGAGCACCATGGGCCTCAGTGAGCTCCTGGCCAGGTCTTTGCATGTGGTGTCGTGCCATGGAGACCTATGATCGAGTAGCCAAGGCCAGTTGCAAGTCCCCATGATTCCTGATTCCTCTCAATGCGAATGTGAAACATCTGCATTTCTTGATCTTGCCATTCGAACTTGAGTGCTCAGTAGTAGCATGTATTATTGGATGTCAAGTTTTAATTTGTTTTAAAACAAAACAGGATCAGATACGTTTAAACATTCCAGTAACCCTAAGCCCTAAACCCTAAACCCTAACCCCTAAACTCCCTTGTGAATGAGCCCTCATGCCTTAGAAACCGTCACACGAAGCATGTAGTCGGCCTGCGGCCCCAAGCCGCCCCGTGGTGTTTCCCTTAGCTTAGGGTTTAGAGTTTGGGGTTTGGGGTTTAGGGTTTAGGGCTTAGGGTTTTTTCTGGCTTTTGTTTCTTTTCAGGGCTTTGGGTCAAGTGGTGGCTAACTGGTTCTTTTTGATTCGTGCTTTCTGGGGTGCTCTCTCCGACTGAACCGGCAGCTACTCAGGATCGCCGATTCGTCTAATGTAACAGAAGTTAGGACTTAGGGTTTGGGGTTCAGGGTTCAGGGTTTAGGGTTTGGAGCGTCATGTCCTTTTGCTGGCTTGTTGTCTGCCGATCTTGTCCTGCGTCATCGGTCGACGGCGACATTATTCCTGTTGTTTCACCTTTCTTTTGTGCGGAAGGAAATGCTGGAGATTTTTCACGCACACACACACCCACACACACACACACGCGCACACACACACACACACCCGCGGCGCACGCGCGCGCGCCCAGACCTACTGCAAGGACAACGAGAAAAGACGATACTAAACAGGAGAAGATAAGATGAGAGCGAGGCAGCACGCGGTATGGTTTCTCTCTTTTGATCGCGCCAAAGTCGTCTCTGCGAAAGAAAGCGTGAAAGGAATGCTTTGTTGTTTTTCGCGTTTTCCTATTTGTTTAGGAAACGACAAAAGAGAGATTGCCCTCTTCTCAGACGGGGGGAAGGATGAGAAAGAGAGGCGAATACAGAGATGCATGGCAAAAGGCCAGACATGGAGGACAGGGAGAGGAAGGGAAGAGGAGAGGAAGAGGAAAGGGTAACAGCATTCACGCCATTTCAGCCATTTGACTTAGCTGAGGCCTGGCTGAGGCACCTTAAAGAAACTAGCCCACCATCCGACAACCAAGAGCAGCTGGAGGATCCCGTGCAGTGTCCTAGCAACTGTCCTTCATTTCCATGCTCTTGCAAACTTGCCCTTGTCTCAGCCATGTTCGTACTTTCCCCTATCATTTCTCGTTCGCGAGAAGAAGGGAAGCAAAAAAGAAGAAAAGCACGGGATAGGAATATTTACGCAGCAAGAAGAACGCCCTTCTCAAGAACTTATGCCATCTTATCTCCGCGCGGAACTCGCTCTCCCATCCATCTCCTTTCCTTGTCGTGCTTTGTCTGGCCACAAGGCCTTTCCTTCCTTGCCTGTAGTGTCTTTCCGTTTCTCACCAACTGGCAGAGCAGGAGGACGAGCAGAACAACGGAAGCGTAGCAGGAGACACACACAGGAAACAAGACAGTGCTTCTTTTTTCCGAAACCATTTAGTCTTCAATCTTCTCTGTGGTCATTGCTTCTCTGTCTCGTCTGTGCAGAGAATGGTAGCCGAGCAGGAAGGGGACGGGGATGAAAGAGGAGAGGGGAAGTGTGGACGTCCTTCATGCCCTCCCTCCTTTTTGTATGCATCGTCATGGAAGAAAAGAAACTGAGACGAACAGAATTCGGTATGGTACAAAGACGAGAAACTACTAAGTGTGTTTATCTTTCTCTCTGCCGTTTCATCCTTCTTTTCGTTTCTGTGGCATGCCTCTGCTCGCGTTGTATAGTGCTCGGGAAAGACTACGCAGGCGGTATTTTGTGCCTGCTTGGCCATGCAATGCCATGCAGCAATGACTTGTTAGCGACTAATCTCATCTTTCAGGAAACAGGGTATACGCCGAAACCTTCTCCGAATAAACGTTGTTTAACACCGATGGCACTTTTGGCCTACACAAAGTTGTTGACCTCCTCGTTCATGTGGTCATGATTTTTCAGCAGGAAGACGAAGCCGTCATAATTCACCAAAAGGTCCATACCACGTAGTGCTTGTAGTTCACCTGTAGTGCAGTAGAACCCTGAGGCCTTGAAGGAGGCCCTTAATAATAGCAATAATAATAATCATAAGAATAATGTATGTACCATAAGGTACATCAGCACCATAGAATTTTCATGAAATGTAGAATTACAGTGCTAAATGTGTTGGTGCCAGGTCGTGGCGCCCAAGAAGGAGAGCCTCGCCGAGGCCGAGTCCTCCTACAACGCCATGATGGAGAAGCTCAATGCCAAGCGTCTGGAGCTCGACTTGCCAAGCCTAGCTGCCCGGTTGACCTGAAAGTCCTCGCTTCTAAGACCTACAGGAGAGACTTCACAAGGAGTTGAAGACTTGCAGATGTTCAGGTTGCATATCCTTTGAGGTTTCAGGAGCTTTAGATGAGTCTAGATGACCCTAAACCCTAAACCCTGAACCCTAAACCCTCAACTCTAAACCCTTAGATGAGTTTAGGGGCTCCTGGCGCCGCTTTGCCGGGCCTGGGACTCTGGGCGGGAAGCCTGAATGTCAGCGCCCAAATTCCATGAAAAGGCTAGGGTTTAGGGTTTAGGGTCAGGGTTCAGGGTTTAGGGTTTAGGGTCTCGGGTTTAGGGTTTAGGGTTTAGGGGCTTACATGGGGTTTCCGATCTTCGGGAGCACTTTTCTTGAGGTTCCTAGTATGTGGGGGTATTAGGGGCTTGCGTGGAGGGGGGGGGGGTTTTCTGAAATTCGGGGGCAAATTCGGGGGCGCTGTACTAGTATTGGGAGTCTGATCCTACTATTTGGGGGTGTTAGGGGCCCCTTATTCCCTAAACCCTAAACCCAAAAGACCCAGACAACCTGGGCACGAGGTGCAGACCTTAAGAAGGTCGTGGACGAGCTCGAGGCCCTGAACCAGAAGCTCAACTCGCTTAGGCTGGGAGTTGGTTCTGGGTTTAGGGTCTAGGGTGTATAGGGTTTAGGGTTTAGGGTTGAGCTTTACATGTTTCATTTTCGTGTTGTTTTGTTGCTGCTGTATTCAGATTTACTGAGCTGGGGGTTTTAGGTTTAAGTTGGGTTTTAAGTGTATGGAGTTGGGGATTACAAGCACAAGCTGGGCCGCAACAGTCGCTATTTTCCCAAGCTGTGGAAGATGAGAAGATCTGCAACTCCGTCTCCGAACTTGCTCTTCTGTCTCTTCTCCTTTCGTGTTGCGGTTTCAGGGCTGAGGTTCTGAGCGCTCAAGGAAGTTTGGGTTTTGGGTTCAGGGTTTCGGGTTTAGGGTTCAGGGCTTAGGGCAGGCTTCTTTAGCTGCAGTGGACAGCAGAGGAACTGTTCTGGTCAGGCAGGAGCAAGATAACCTGACGGCCGAAGTGGATCTCTGCCAGAAGAAGCTGGAAAGAGCGCCTCGCTTGCAACGCGCTTCTTCCGCAGCATCCCATTCATCCTCAAGCAAGCTGCTGTGGACGCACAAGATCGTCGTAAAACTTCAAAGGCAGATTGACGATTAAGCGTAGCAGCGACCCCAGGCGGAGACCCTGATCACCTCCCTCGGTGGCGAGAAGACCCGGTGGACGCAGAATGCCATCGATCTAGCGGCTCCGGGCTCGGATTTTGAGTGCCGGGACGCATCGGACAGACTAGGGCCTCCATAGGGTTTTTGAGTTTGAAGGGATGCCGCAGAAATGCACTTGAGCATGTGGTTCAATGGTTCGTCACAGCATGGTGAGTCACGGCTCTTGCTGCTCCACTTCAGCCGAGGCCTACCTGTTAAGTAAGAAGCTTGAGGAATACTCAGGGGCCAGCTTAGAACTTCAGTCCGAGCCAACCTTCATCCCCGGTCTTAGGCTGACTATGTGAACCTCACTGGAGATGCTTGCCTGGCATGTTTTACACTGGCTGTGCTCCTGGGCATTTTCTTAGACGATGGGACGCGAGAACGCTTTTGAGAACAGACGGGTGGTTTCGAGGAGGGGGGGTCGGCTTAGCTTGGACTTCTCTTTTTGGATAGAAGGTTTAGATCGACGTACTGACCCTGCAGCTCCCGACCTACCCTAAACCCTAAACCCTAGACCCTAAACCCTAAACCCTAAACCACAGCATGATCCTGACGCCAGGTCATCGTGGCATCCGGCCTCATTGCGTACCTGGGAGCCTTCACGCCTGACTTTCGTGAGGGGGCTGTCTCGCTCGGGGCCTGGCGAAGCTGCGCAATCCTCTTTTTTCCCGAAAGCCTAAAGCCTGCCGTACCTTAAACCCGACAGTGCTGAATCCCGGCACTCTCAGCCTCAACAGCCCCGTGAAATCTTGAGTTTCAGACCGTAGAACTCCCATGAGTGGCACAGCAGATAATCACCACATGTTCGGTGCTAGTCCCCAAAACGATCTTTGAATAAGCCCTTCAGAGCGTACCTCTCAAAATTCCTTCAACCCTAAACCCTAAACCCTAAACCCTAAACCCTAAACCCTAAACCCTAAACTCCCCTGCGCTTTATTTTTCGAGGTCCTGGGCCTCAGAGTCCCTCGAGCGCCAGATCCCAGGCTCCGAGAAGCCGCTTGGGCGATGCTTTACAGTAGGGTTTAGGGTTTAGGGTTTAGGGTACAGGGTATTTAGCGTTTAGGGTATTTAGGGTTTAGGGTATTTAGGGTTTAGGGTTTAGGGTATTTAGGGTTTAGGGTTTAGGGTGGCTCTTCCAAGGAGTCAGGGGTTGCTTGACAAATTGAGGATTAACTTATGGCTTTCAGGCCTCAGGACATTTTGAGACCACGCGACCCTAGACCCTGAGCACCATGGACGTGTCCTCTGAAGCAACTAGTCTCAGCTCGACCCGAAAGAAGTGATGCAAAGCAGCTCGAATCAGGCCTCAGTTCGATGTCCGGCTCCGCATTCGACGTTACGGTCGTCTGATGTCGGGTTTCGTTTCGATGATCACACCTCCAAGATTCACTATAGAGCCAAGGGTAAACAATGTCAGACAACGTCAGAATATAACGTCAGAAAACCCAGCTAATCTAAAGTTCCACACTTTCGACACACAACGAAGGTTCAGCCTGGAACGCTGTCTTGGCGAGCCTGTGAAGGCCGATGTTGGAACACCGGGCAGCCTGCTGATTTTGAGCTGTGTTGATTCGATGCTGCAAGTTTTCCTCCTTAAACATGACAGTCATTGCGATGAGATGTGATGGCTTGAAAGTTTCGAAGGGATGTGCGGCTTCGCCGAAGGGGATGCTCAATTGGTGCTCGGGGCATCATTCTGCATATTTTTGCAAGTCGTCCCACAGACCTCAAACGAGTCATCCTTCGTACGGCGAACGGATAAAGGCAATCCGGCGTCCCCATGCAGGTTCGAGCCTGGGTTGTTGCAGGGCTGCCGAACGATTCCTTCAGCATCGAGAATGGCATCATCATGGACAAGGCCTCCTGCGCCCAAAGCAGGTCTTGCATGACATTGCGGTTTGAACTCAGGGCTTCTTATAGTTCTTCTGGCATGGTATTTTCAGGCATTTCCGGCCTGCTTCACAGAATTTCAGGTGTGACTGCAGAACAAATTGGATGGTTTTCAATGTAACCGTCATTCTGAGCTGCGGCTGTACGACCTGATCACTTGTGCACGCAATGGTGCACAAAATGAGACAATCGTTCGGCATTCCTGTAAAACTAGCGCTCCACAAAGATCATCGAAGCTCAGGCGAGGCGGTCCGGCCCTTGGCCGTTCTTCAGTCAAAGTTTTGACGGTTTGTTGAGGGGTTTGTGCCTCCCTGCGGGCTTCGGCTGTAGCGAGCCCAAACCCTCAACACAGCTCCAAGCCTTTGCACGGCTTTCGCTTTCTTAAGCTTCCTTTTGCCCCTTTGAAAGGATGTTAGTTTGCAAGAGAGAAACAACAAGCCAAGAAGGCTGCTTGCGCGCATTGGGAACTTGCTAGCAACTGACCGAAGTTAAGACTCAATCTCCGAGTCATGGAGCTTGCCCCCCTCGGGCTGTTGAATTGGTGCATTTGCGGTCTTGAGGCCTTGTTTTGGTCCATTACTTTCGAGGAATTCGCGAGTCTCGAATGGGTGCCATCCTTCCGGAATCCCATGGTGTCAATGATGGTCAACACCTCTTGGCGGGGAGCATGTGCGCAGGGTTCAACTTGAGCATGGACCCGTTCACCTGATCCGCTTAAATCCCCAAAAGCACCCTGATGCTCTTGTTATTGTCCCTCATGCTCAGCTGCGTCGACTCTGCCTAATCAACTGTCTCAGCTCTCTATTGCCTAGATGATTGGCTACTCACATCGTGTCTGCCTGTAGCAGGTAGCACGTTGCAATGTTGCGCTTCCTGCAGAACCAAGGGCTGGCAGAATATTTAAAGGAGAGACACGATGCAGAACCTCAAGGAAGCACTTCTATGAAACGGTAGTGATGACTGTTCCTGACTGGAGCTACGTGAAGTGGAAGAAATGGTTCGCCTGCTGCTGGACTGCCACGGTGCCGAGGTGGCCACTGTGCATCGATCCCCAGGGCCAGGCGAACCGGTGGATCAAGAAGTGCCTCTGGCGAGTTTGGTGGCTGAAGCCCTATACCGAGGGGGTTTCCGACGGGACGGTGGCTCAACTAGAGGAGCAAACGTGGTGTAGTTGATGCATTGCAACTCCATGGCCTGGGCACGTGTTTGGCGAGTACACCGACTGCTTCTAAAACCGTTGTCTTTAGGACCTCCACGAACTTGAGCAAACTTGGGTTCCTTCTGTGGATAATACATATATGTACACAAACAAATATCCTCTACATATACAATATACCTCTACACATACACAGACACATACACGTACACGTACACATACATATACATATACATATACAGGTCCAACTTGATGGATATTTGTCAATACACGGACTGCTGGGATCAACGCTTTTAGAAGATCCAAGCAATTCTATGCATTTTTTGCCAACTTGGGTTGCTCAAGCTGTTTTTTGGGCTCCTTTCAGGGGATTCTATTCTATTGAGGGTATAAATCTTCCACCTGCAGGATGGGCCAACCGCTGCAGATCGTGGTGGCCAAGTTCACAGACTCGGACTACCTCAAGCGACTGGAGGGTGCGAACAGGGCTTTTGGAGGTGTTTGGGTTTGGGCATACCTCGGGGCTGAGACACAGCCTGCTGAGATTTTTTCGCTTCAGGGTCGTCCGCATGTTTGAAGTCCCATGTTCCCGAACAGCATGTGACAGTTGTGAAAGTTGCATACCAAGGGTATGTGTCTGCAATGAGAGGCTTCGGGGACAGAACAGAACTGAACGGGACTGGCCATTCCTTGATGCCAATTATAACTTGTCACGTAAGCATAAGTTGTCGACAATGTTGGCACGGCTGATGCTGCAGATTGATGTACACTGACGACCTTGTTTATGCTCAGCGTGCGCCTCCGCAACGCAGGCTGCATCCAGTTTGGGAACCCGATGCTCATCGAAAACATGCTGGAGGTCCAACAGCTTCCGCTGGAACCCCTAATCCCTGAAGCCGAAGCTCTGAACCGACCTTGGACGATTCCTTTCACCTCATCTGGGAATTGCCAACCTGCTCGGACCCATCTTCATTTCGTTTTTCCTAGGGGTGGGGCCAAGCCGTTTTGAACGTTCCAGCACATTGGCTTCAACATGCTATGGATGAACCAACACTGTTGCGCATCCCCCCCCAACCCCCCAAAAGCAAACATAACGTTGTATTAAGCACGTGAAGACAACGCTGCCCAAGCCGTTTTAGCTGCTGGTCCAGCACGTATGTTGCAAGATCTGAGGTAGAGGCTCTTAATCTATTCATTCTTTGATCCTCCCAACATTATGCGTTCCAACATCAACTTGGCCGGTTCTTCATTAGGCTGAATCACACGGATCCACCTTGAAGAAGATAAACACTAAGAAACCACAGAAAGTAGCAGAAAGAGCAATTATGATAGAAATTTCTCCATGTTGGACTGCCGGCATCACCGCCACAGAAACCCGCAAAATGTCCTGAAACTTGTCTCAAGTGTTGAAACCCATGCGAGGACACGGACCCTGCTGTGGAGCCCGTGCTTCTACGGCAGACCTTCAAAAAGGGCAACGCGCCTCCCGGCAGGAATGCGACTAATTGACAGTAACTACCTGGGTGCCTTCGGCCAGCAGACATCGTGTTTCTGCTTAGCTTTGGTGGGGGAATGGGGTTTGTTTGTTGAACCTGCTTCACACGGGCACTGCACTCCCGGCCAAGCTTTTCTAAACCCGAAAACCTAAACCCTAAACCCTAAACCCTAAACCCCAAACCCTATACAATCCGAGGTTGATGATCAAGCTCGGCGAGGCCAGAGAGGGAGAGAGCGTCAGACTGCAAACATCTTGCAGCCTTGGGTGCGCGTCTGGTCTTGAGTCTTTCTTGAAGTGCAGATATGGCATGAGGGTTTAGGGTTAGGGTTTAGGGTTTAGGGTTTAGGGGTTAGGGGTTAGGGGTTAGGGGTTAGGGGTTTAGGGTTTAGGGTTTAGGGTTTAGGGTTTAGGCTTAAGATGCCTACGTGCTTCTTTGGAAGACTATTCGGGCGCGCTTGAGCTTGGAACTGTCAAGGGCAGCCCTGCAATGTCAACATGTCGACTCTTTCACTGCCTCGCCCCCTAGACCCTAAACCCGGAACCCTAAACCCTTAACCCTAAACCCTTAACCCTAAACCCTAAACCCTAAATTCCATTGCCTCGCCCAGACGACCATGGAGTGGCAGAAAGACTTCAAGTTTTACCTCACCACGAAGCTGAGAAACCCGCACTACCTTCCAGAGGCCGGCAGAGCCCTTTTTAGGGTTTAGGGTTTAAGGTTTAGGGTTTAGGGTTTAGGGCCGCATAGGAGCCGTAGGATCTTGGAAGGTCTTTGCAGCTTGGCGGGGACTGGCGCTTTTGCTTGGAGCTGGGAACGTACAGCAAAGTTGGAGGTCCTGGTTGCGCCGTGTCTGTTGGCATTGAGGCTTTCAGCATCATGAGAAGTGCCCACTCGTTGCACAGAGAGCCAGATCGAACTCGGGTTTCTGCCGGGCCAGCTGGCAAATGAAGACGGCCTCGAAAACAAAGCAGGGACCTTTTGCGCATTATGAGCAGCAGCCAACCCGTTTAAAAGGCATTGAATCCTATACCCGTATGATGACCAGACGAGCCCTGGCCTTGTCAGCAACTCGCAGCAGGTTGCCGTGAAGGTTACGCTGCTGAACTTCATGATCACGCAGGCAGGGGACGGCTCGGGGGGAGGGGGGGAGGAGTGACCCTTCTCTACTTCCATGCGAATGCCGCGTGCTTCTCGCGGCTATGCCATACGCAAGGGGTACCCCACACTCCTCTGAACCCGGCATCCCATCTCTCGGTTTAGGCCTCTTATGGCCTCTCAGGCCTCTCTTAGACCATGTGAGGCCTGTGCATCTGAGTCTGTGCATCAGCAGGACTCCCAGTCATGAAAAGCCTTGGCACCAGGTGGGGCTGCAGGACCAGCTGCTAAACATCGTCGTGGAAAAGGACCTCCGAAAGGGCAAGTTGGGCTTAGGACCTTAGGATTTTCGGTTTCAGCCTGCGCGCACGCAAAGTGCCTAGAATTAGAGCTTCATGGGAATGCCTAAGCCTAAGCAGGGGATTTGAAGAGTCCGGCTCCTTAGCTCCATCTGGCTCTTAGCCTAATTAGTGAGGAACTGGGGAAGTTCGGTCCACGAAGGCTGTGAACTATCAGTCTTATTAGTCTTATTCCCAGCAGCAGAAGCTTTGACAAAGGTCCTCGTCTCGCGTTCAGCTGCTGTATAGAGCAGGAGCGGCCAGACCTTGCTGAAGAGAAGGCTCGCCTGGTTGTGGAAGGCGCCCCAGATCGCAGGAAAGTAGCGGTTGAGGCTTCGTGGCTTCGTGTTCAGAGACGCTGCAACGCACTGCAGTGCCTTCTCTGCTGCTGTGCTTGCGGAGCCGGCAAAGCGACAAAGGGTCAGAAAACCGTGTGGAAGGATTCCAGGTTGGTCCAAGCCCTTCCAAAACAAAGAAGGGTTAATGGAGAGTTAAAATGCCAAGCTGCGGCTTCGCTAGCATATCCTGGAAGCCTGGGACAAGGCCGCAGGTACCCTCAGTGAAAATCTGAGCAGCTCTTTAAGTCTTTCCTCCTATCAAGAAGCATTCGGAGTGTAGAAATCAAGCCATGGCTAGCCATCGTGCCTTCAACGGCTTAAGGGAAGTGTCCCAACGAATACCCGGTAGACCGATGGGACATGGGAACCCACATCCCGGATATCCGTTCGACTCCCTTTTGATTTACATGGCTGCGACAAGTCTTTTGATCTCTACAATCGGTGCCATGTTTGCTCCCCTAGAAGTGTTGAAAAGTTGTCAAACTATACAAGTCGACTAAGTGACGAAGGACACTCGACAGTTGGGTAGATGCCCCATGCCAATAGTGCAGTCTGCAGTTCAGCAAAGAGGCGCGGAAAACAAAGAGCAGCTGGAGATCACGGAGAACAAGATCTTGGATGCCGCTCAGTTGGATGTTCAATGGGTTCAAATTGATATTCAGGAATGAAAGTGCTCCGGTTTGGACAAATTTTGGGATCTGTGGGCTGAACTTTGGTGTGTTGAGTAGCACTCATCATATTTCTAGAGTCTGCCCATCAGAGTGGACTTGGGAGATCAAGGGTCTGCTCGAAGAATCGAAGAACATGTGCATCATTATCATTATCATCATCATCATTCTTATTATTATTATATTATTATTATTGTTATTATGTTTTGTTAGTATTTGAATTAATAATTGTTCTTATATCAGAGTATATGTGTATATATATATATGTACAGTTGTGGGTTCCAGAAGCCGTGTGAACCTGAAAATCCCCACGCGACTGCTGAAGGTGCTCAGCTCATCCCAGGGCAACATCCTCGAGGATGAAAAGGCGGTTCAGGCCTTTGGGGGTAGGCTTTTGGGGGGACCACCTTCAGTTTATTTGGGGGTTCTGGTTGAAGGTTTGGGAGCTTGAGGCTAAGGCCAAAGAGAGCTTCTGCATCGCGGAAGGGGCGGGGGGCGAGCTCTGTGAGTGTGCAACCGAAGCTAAAGTAGCTCCTCTTGCCCAACTGTCCTCGCTTACACCCGAATAATTAAGTGGAGCGCTTCCAGAGCTCTGAGCCAAAGCTCTCCTTTGCAGATTCTATCTGCTTCGAAGCAGCTGTCAAATGAGATCGCCCGGGCCTTAGAGCGCCAGCCGTCTCATTGTCTTCATCCCTTCAGAGTTGGACCACAGGGGTGGAGTGGTGCGGGAGTTGCCTATAGGTGCAAGGCATCATAAGCCAACTTCCCTACAGAGGTGCCTGCTTCGCACCACCAAGACATGAGCGCCCCTCCTTAAGGCAGAAAAGCAGCAGACGGCAGAGACGACTGAGAAGCAGATTGACGAAGCACGCCTCCAGTACGTTCCTGTGGCGTACTGCTGGCTCAGTTCAAGTACGCATCGAGGCTGATGATGCTCCAAAGACGTCAGAAGTTCTAGCTCAACAATTGCTCGGCCTGTTCAACTTGGTTGGCCATGCTTGCGCCTAGATCCGCGCAACATGGACCTGGAATCGATTGTGTTGGCTTCATGGTAGGTGAAACGTGCGCCGACACGAAGATCTGTTCTTCTTGTTGCTGCCTTGTCCATGCCGGGTCAGCTGTTTCTCACTTGCGGCTGCTCGTGGGTCTGAGGTTTGAGAAGGGGAAGAGTGGAAGATAGTGGAAGCGTGTACATTGCCGAGCCCTTTGAGCGGTTTAGGGTTTAGGGTTTAGGGTTTAGGGTTTAGGGTTTAGGGTTTAGGGCTTTGGGTTCTCTTAAGCTCTTCAATGGCAGGTTCCAGACAGCGATCCTGTTCTTCTGCATCGCCGACCTTGCGAACATTGCCGGTGCCTGAAGTTTGTCTCGGTCAGTTACGCGCAAGTACGGCACAGGACATTCCGCACAGAGTTCAAGAAGCCACCTTGGTTGAACTGGAGCAGAAAGAAGAACTCCTCAACGGATTGCAGATGCGCAGCCCTGAAGCCCAGACCTCCCTCCCTCAAACCATCACAAAGCCGCCCCCGAAAACCTCAGCGGTAAAAACCCTTAAACCCCGAAACCCTTAAACCCTTAATCCCTCAAACCCTTAAACCCTTAAACCCTTAAACCCTTAACCCCTCAAACCCTCAAACCCTTAACCCCTTAAACCCTTCCCCCCCTAAACCCCTAAATCCCTAAACCCCTAAACCCTAAAACCCTAAAACTTCAAACCCTACAGTGGGCCCAGGATCCCATGTACCAGTACTCGCTTCCCTTCTTCATCGGCCTCTTCAAGGCAGCCATTGCAAAGTCAGAGAAAACGGATGACATTGTCCGGAGCCCCGGGAAGATCCGGTACCTGTCCGTGGGCTGGGTTTAGGATTTAGGGTTTAGGGTTTAGGGTCTAGGGTCTACTAGGGTTTAGGGTTTAGGGTGTAGGGTTATGGTTGCAGGTTGTAGTTGCAATGGCTGGATACAGGGTGTTCACGCTCCCTGTGGCGACGCTGAGGTGAAGCGCATCGTGATCCTGAACGACTTCTTTATGGAGCCGCGCCGCAGTACTTAGTAGGGGGGGGGGGGGGGGTTGTGAAGCACGGAGAAGCTTGCGGTAGAAAGCCTAGCAGTATGGCCAAGCGCAGTCATACAGCCTGCCGTATGCTGCGGAATTCTCAAGTGAGGTTTTGAAAGTCGGGGTTGGGGGTGCAGCTTGATCTCCAAGGTCTCATGTTGGCTCGGGTCTATCTTCGTTAACTGCTGGTTTCAGGAGATGCTGTACAAGAACATTTGCCGGTCGCTCTTCGAGAAGCACAAGCTCTTGTTCTCCTTCTTGCTGACGATGCGCCTGCGCATCACCACTGGGAAGGCCTTCGGACTTGCAGCTGCAAGTAGGTTATATAATCAATATATGTATATACATAACACATATATTTATTTGTTTTTTGATTTATTTATATTTATATATTATACTCATGCATTAATACATGTTTTCATGATTATCTGTGTTATAAGATTATATTCATATATTTGTGTATTACTTTATTTTTAAGGAGTTGTTAGACTCAATTCGCGGTTCGGCAAGACATGGGAGCTCTCGACCTTCTTCAGGTGTCGATGTCCGACTACCGCTTTCTGCTGACTGGAGGCACTGCCATGGAGGAGGGGCTCGGGAAGGGCATAGGGTTTAGGGTTTAGGGTTTAGGGTTTAGGGTTTAGGGTTTAGGGAGGCCTGATGGATCTCAAGCAAGTTTACATCAAGTGGGTGCCAGTAGCGATGATGGTTGTGCTGGGGCCGCAGGCACTGCTCATTGAATGAAGGAACTGTGTGGTAACAAGCCAACATAAGAGTTGATGTTCGTTCACTGTTCATGTCAGGAAAGAGGTTAGTCTGGCCTCAGGGCTACTTTAGCATTGGACATGCGGGTCTACCAAATCATGCACTCCCACACTTTGCATGTCTGTACCACCCTGTAACACCCTTCTCCTCGGAAAGCCCTAGCAAGTTCGAGAGAGGAGCCTCCGCCGAAGCCGACGGACTGGATTCCAGACAGGCACGCCGCTGCTTAGTTGGCTAGTTTTTTCGGATTTAGCGCACGCATATTCGAAGGATTCATACTCTGTGGGTTTCGGCGGCTTCGGTAGGTGTGCAGATTTCTAGGATTGAGAGTGCAGCTATCGGAGTTTAGGCGTTAGGCTCTGGACTGAAGGATATGGAATCTAAAGGTTCGGGTTCTGACTCTGGGATGAGGGCAGGGCCTGCGTCGCTCGTGGGCTTAATTTTTGCTGCTGGCAAAAAGCCGCGCATCATCCTTCGAGCCGACCAATTCGGCTGGCCCTTAGCAGCTTAGCATTCATCGCCAGGGTTTAGGGTTTAGGGGTTTAGGGGTTTAGGGGTTTAGGGGTTTAGGGGTTTAGGGGTTTAGGGGTTTAGGGGTTTAGGGGTTTAGGGGTAGAGGGTTCGGAAAGTGATTCGGGCCGACGTGTGTAGAGCTACTAGTGCAGATGCGCCGCTGCAAACTCGATTCTGCATTATGTGGTCTGATTGCACCAGGTGCTGGCTTGAGATTTTCAAGCTGAGCAAGGTGAATGACCTCTACGCCCCAATTCCTGTGCGAACCCGAGTCTCTCGCAAAGCGCCCTTCATTAGGGCTTGGGAGTCTCACTTTCAGCGACTTTCAGCTTGGAGGTTCTCAGGTTAACGAGGGCTTCATCCGGCAGGAACGTTGACTTTTGAGAGCGAAATGGATACCCCCCCACCAGTGAACTGTAGAATTCTTGGGCATGGTAAAATCCAACCAAAACAAAAACTCGAGCTGTTTTTTGTATGGAAACCGAGCACTCGGCAATCAAGTGTTTGCTCGGAAGCGACCCTGAAGGTATAATTTGTAGTACTAGTACCGGGGCAGCATTGAAGGCTTTCGAGCCGGGTGCCAATTCTGCAAGGTGTTGCATGTATCGTGTGCGGCCTCAGGCATTCTGTAGAACGGGCACCCACTTGCAAAGAGCTGCCCATACGCAAATCAATAATCTCCCTTAACATGGGGCCAGCAGACTCTGTTGGAGCTTTTGTGCAGAGAACAGCAGAGAACAGCCTTGGCTGAATGGGTGCGGTGGGTGAGGGGGGGGGGGGAGGAACTCCAAAATCTTGCCAAAAGTGGGTAATCCCGGCGAAAAGGGTCTGTTTTTGCGTCGTTTTGGGGTCATGGCCAGGGTTCACAATTTAGGAAGGGAATGATCAGTGGAGAAGCCAGCTCAAGCTGCTTCTCATGCTCATGATGCTGTGGGTCGATCTAAACCCCAAACGCGACACCCTGAACACTCCTTCGGCCTCCGGGTAAACCCTAAAACCCTAAAGACTAGTCGTGCAGGAGATTAGGGTCAAAGGGCAGTAGCGGCGAGGGATGATGAGGGTCTGCTTGCAGCCAGGGTTCGAACTTCTAGGGCATCTCTCGTCCCCGCCCTTTCGTGCGCAAGTCTGCGGGAGACCACCGGCCCAAACCGGGCCCAAACAGAAATCCGCAGCCCTCGAAAGCACCAAGATGCAAAGACGCTACCATTTCCAGGTGCTCTAGAAAGCCCCTCCCTCTCCAACCCCTCAAAAATCCCTCAGATTCGAGATTTTGGAATCCCTTGAGGCCAGCTTCGGGGAGCAGATGACGCGCTGGAAGGAGGCCTATGACTCCTCGGATCCCATGGGGCCAGGGTCCCTGGATTTTGAGGGGTTTAGGGTTTGGGGTTTAGGGTTTAGGGTTTAGGGTTTAGGGTTTAATTAGGGTTAAGGGATCCCTTCTGCGGTGGGAAAGGATTCCTAAGAGGGGGCACCGAAAGGAAGCCCCTGGCCTTCGACTTTTCAACGCCCTCACAGTCTCATCAGGGTTTGGGTTTAGGGTTTAGGGTTTAGGGTTTAGGGTTTAGGGTTTAGGGTTTAGGGTTTAGGGTTTAGGGTTTAGGGTTTAGGGTTTAGGGTTTAGGGTTTAGGGTTTAGGGTTGCAAGCTTTAGCAAAGGCTGTAAGGGTATTTTGGGTTTTGTAGCTGAGGTTGGGGAGTGGAGCATGACTCGGCTGGACTGGAAGTGAGCGACAAATAGGTTTTTGGCTTCAGGGCTTTGAGGATCCGAGAGTCTAGTGACAAGTGCATGTTGATTGCGGACTACTGGGCTACAGTGAGGACAGAGTTTCGGCTAAGAAGACAGAGCAAAGTGTGCTCAAGCAACTTGTGGAATCCTTTGCCGGCACTTGAAAGAGCTGCAAATCATCAAGGAAAGGTGCACCTGAATCCGCAGGTCAGAGCAACCGGAAAAGTTACAAGGGCCGCCTTCCATGACCAACTCCTGAACTCTCTGAAGCCTGAAGCCCTTCGCCACTTTGTTACTTGGCAGGGTTTAGGGTTTAGGGTTTAGGGTTTAGGGTTTAGGGTTTAGGGTTTAGGGTTTAGGTTTAGGGTTTAGGGTTTAGGGCTTAGGGTTTAGGGTTGGGCTGCCCAGGTGCTTGACAGGGCAAATGGCGCCCCATTGTCTCGAAGGCACTTGGGTCAGCTCCCAGGGCTGGGCCTGTCGTTGCTTGGGGTCTTTGGTTCAACTCCACTGAAGGTTTAGGGGGTTTTGGGGTTTTGGTTTTTGGGTTTAGGGTTTCTGCGCACCATTCAGATTACAGTTGGTGCTAGGCCTGGCCGTTGCAGTTCTGAAATGGCATTAAGAACCTTGGGGCCATGTTTGTTTGCGGGGTTGTTGGCAAAAGGCATGTAAACTGGCTCAGATAGCAGTTGATCTCATTTTCATCCGGCAGAACTATCTCCAAAGCCTCAGAGCACTTAACGCGAAGCAACCGACGGGCAAGCGGCAAGTTGGATGGTGGTGAGTTGAAGGGTTCAGAACCATATTTCCAACTTTGGCCAGTCAATTGAGGCTATGTGAAGCTGCTTGTCCAAACGCAGAGAGCCCAACTGGCAGAAGCAAGATAAATTACAGTGGAGCACGGTTTAGGGTTTAGGGCCTAGGGTTTAGGGTTTAGGGTTTAGGGTTTAGGGTGCGAAGCCCCGAGGCTCTGCAAAATAGTTCCTATAACCCTGCACACAATGGATTTCCGCCTTCTGCAAAATCACCACCCGCCGCTAGACCTATCGGGCTTCCAGAAGCTCCTCGTGCTCAGGCCAGGATGTGTACCTAAGCAGTTTAGGGTTTAGGGTTCAGGGTTTAGGGTTTAGGGTTTAGGGTTAAGTCGATGCTTGTGCATGTTCTGTAGAGCTTTCAGTCCATGGCTAAAGATCATGATTCCTGTGACGATTCGAACGAGTTTCTTGCTGAATGCACTCAATGCAGTTTGTCACTTGAACTGATATGACTACCCAAAAAGGTCCACCTTCGAAGTGCTAGCAAGTTAGCACACCAGTGCCTCGAGGTGTGTGCGCCCCGATCGTGTCTTGCCGGCGGTGCTGGGCTACGTAACCGACGAGGCCATGGCTGAGTGGGGTTTAGGGTTTAGGGTTTGGGTTTAGGGTAATCTACCAGCTCCCTGACAATGGCTTAGCAAAGGAGGGGTACTTGTATCAGGTATTATTATTCAGTGCGATCCAGTATGCCACACTTGCGTGGATTCTCGCAAGAATCCCAAGATGACAGAAACAGAGCGGAGCAGCTCCACAAGTTAAACCCAGACTCAAGAGAGTCTCAAGATCTGATCACCTGCTGCCTATCCCTGGCTGCTTCAAATTGTCCTTCACATGCAGTCCATACCTAATGCGTAAAGCCGTTAAGCTCGCAAAGTCTGTTCAGGGTTTGTAAGGGTTTAGGGTTTAGGGTTTGGGGTTTAGGGTTTAGGGTTTAGGGTTTATACCGAACAAACCCTAAAGATGCCAACCCTTGCGACTGGTCAGATTGGTGAGAAGTTTGTCACGCCTCCGCCCTTCGACATTGCCGGCAGCCCCTGAGCAGCAAAGATTTGCGAGGAAGCCGACTGGACTTCTTGACAACGTCAGCTGGGATGTTCGCAGATGCTGAGAGGGATCAATGAGAGTCAGAGTAGAGCCACCTCAGACCCTAAACCCTCAACCCGAAACCCTAAACCCTAAAACCCTAAAACCCTCCTAAACCCTAAACCCTACACTTGAAGCCCCCCCCCCGATCTTTGAGAGCCAGCGCTCATTCTGGGGGCCTCAGCCTTGAGCCCAGGCTATGCAGACTCTTCCACCATCTCACCCCTGATCTTCGTGCTGTCTCCTGGGCGCCGCACTCGGCTGAACCGCACCATCCACGCACAAGTAGGGCTTGGGCGCTAGAGATTCTTGCATGTCTTGGGTTTGGGATTGGGCCTAACTATGAATCAGGCGCAGAGTTTGGGCGAAAGCTGCATGCCGCTGGCTTGAGAAGAGTGGCAGGTATCGGTGAGTTCACCAAGCCATGCCCCCCTCGTCATTTTCGTGTCCGCCGTCTTGGCCATAACTCTCTGTGGATTGCAAAACCTAAGCCCTAAACCCTAAACCCTAAACGTCGATCCCCCACCCTATTTTCTCTTAACGTGTCCAGAGACATGATGAAGGAGTTGTGGAATCCCAGGCTTTGGCAGTTGTTGTCATACGGCTATAGAAATTGAGGATGTGAGGCAGGATGCTAGGCGGATGGAAGGAGCAGATTAGGGAATAAGCCCTAAATCCTAAACCCTAAACCCTAAACCCTAAACCCAATAAGCCCTAAAGGGAACTGGAGGTTTGAAGGAATGCGAAGGATGCTCCGGGGATCGTGTGGCTTCAGGTCCGACCCATCATCCGCTCTCTACATGTTCGCTTCCGAGAAGGCGCGTTGTTTTTGGCTCTGCCTCGAAGCCTCGGAGTACCTAACGAAGGTTTAGGGTTTAGGGTTTAGGGTTTAGGGTTCGGAACCCTAAACCCTAAACTCTAAACCCTAAACCCTAAACTCAACCCTAAACTACGCCTTGCCCGCAGGCCCTGTAAGGCCTCTTACCACCCTGTCGCGGGGAGAGTCGAATGGCCTCTACCGAGGCTGCGTATTGTGGTTCATGTGCGTACTCATGTCTATATTTGTATGTGTATACCTGGCACTTTAAGCTTATACAGGAATTTACATGTCTGCTGTAGGACCTGTAGGATTCGAGGAAGGGTTTAAGGTTTAGAGTTTAGGGTTGAGGGTGTATAGGGTGTAGGGTTTAGGGTTCATGGTTTGCGCAGCAATGCCCTGTGGTGTATGTCGTTTCTGGTATCATTCAAATTCTGGGTTCTCTGAATGTAGGTCCTGAACTGTAAACCTTTTTCTGGCACGCTAGATATACGGAGGAGCCTGAAAATGGGGACCGCAAGTTTGAGAATCTACCACATGCACTGCTGTTTCTATTCGTCTCGTTTTGGTTTACAATTGCCATACACCAAATCCTTATCCTAAAACCCAGGGGAGGGGGGGGGGAGTCCCTAGAATCTGGCGTGCTTCAACTTCAAGTTTTGTTTGGTTCTTTGGGGAAACCCTACAAAGGCCCAAGGCCCCCCCACGGAATGCCCAAGCCCGGATTTGAAAGCCCAAACCCTAAACCCCAAACCCCTAAACCCTAAACCCCTAACCCCTCAACCCGAAACCCCATGAATGCCCAAAACCTGGCAACGGTCGACCCGCCCTCTTCACTCAAACCCTCCACCCTTTGTATGAGTAGCTGAGTGAGAGTGAGTACACTTTACACTTCTTGGGATACTATAATCCCCTATAGAACTGAACGTGTGCAACTTTTTGGGGCTTATGAACTCAGCAACTAAGTTGTCACCCTTTGTCAAGTAATTCACCACACCCCAGACACTAAAACCTAAACTCTATAGACCCTAAACTCTAAACCCTACCATCCTAAACCCTCATAGGGATGGAGTGACAATTTGCTTCTAGGTTGCAGCAATGTTGCGTATTCAGATGATGACGACTGGGGAAGAGGTGGCGTGCCTGGAGCCGGAGAAGTTGCTGAGTATTGCCGGCGCCACTGCTACGGGCCACGTGCGCGCCCTAAATCTCCATCTCCAAAAGCTCTGTGGGCATAACCGGTTTCGACAACGGCTCCTGCAAGAAGACGGGCAGATTTTGCCCGAAGAGGCGGTTCTGGAAGCACCTTGCCTATTGCACCTGGTAATTCTGGACTTTGCCGAGACTTCTGTCGGTGATATTGACAGGCTGCTCCATGCAGCGGAAGCAGACGATGCAATGCAAGTAGAAACGATCTTGCAGCGACCCCAAGATCCAAACCGAACGGCGCAACACAACATGACAGCTTTGCACGTTGCAGCTAGGTCTGACAGGCAAGTCGCCACAAGGCTGCTGCTCGAAGCTGGTGCGGCCACCGACCAAGTTGAAGACCGTGGAGCCACGCCACTGATCTTCGCTGCATACAACGGCCACTTGGAAGTGGCACGTTTGTTGTTGGAGTTTGGTGCGGGCAAGGACCCGGCGATGCCAGATGGAGCCACACCACTTTTTCTCGCAGCCCAGAACGGCCATTTGGAAGTGGCACGTTTGTTGCTGGAGTTTGGTGCGGACAAGGACCTGGCCGATGCACATGGAGCCACGCCACTTTCCATGGCAGCTTACCATGGCCGCTTGGAAGTGGCACGTTTGTTGTTGGAGTTTGGTGCGGACAAGGACCCGGCGAGGTCAGATGGAGCCACACCACTTTTTCTCGCAGCCCAGAACGGCCATTTGGAAGTGGCACGCTTGCTGCTGGAGTTTGGTGCGGACAAGGACGTGGCCGATGCACATGGAGCCACGCCACTTTCCATGGCAGCTTACAACGGCCACTTGGAAGTGGCACGTTTGTTGCTGGAGTTTGGTGCCGACAAGGACCTGCCGATTTCAGATGGAGCCACGCCACTGTACATCGCCGCTGAGATCGGCCACTTGGAAGTCGCACGATTGTTGCTGGAGTTTGGCGCAGACAAGGACCTGGTCTTCGCAAATGGAGCCACGCCATTGTACATTGCAGCTGAGAACGGCCACTTGGAAGTGGCACGTTTGTTGCTGGAGTTTGGTGCGGACAAGGACCTGGCGACTTCTGATGGGGCCACGCCACTTTTCATCGCAACTCGGAACGGCCACATGGAAGTGGCTCTCTTGTTGCGATGAGTAACAGTATACAAATTTAGGGTGGGAGCCGACAGGGGGTTTATGGTTCAGGGTTTAGGTTTAGGGTTATAAGGGTTCAGAGTTAGGGGTTTGCGCAGCAATGCCCTGTGGTGTATGTCGTCGTTGTTGTCAATCAAAATCCAAATTTTCTGGACTAAAGCCCTGAAAGCTAAGCCTTTCTCCCGTACCCTAGATATACGCTGGACCCTCAAAATGAGGGACCGCAAGTTTCATAATCTGCCACATGCACTGCTGTTTCTATAAACCCAAAGCACTGAACCTAGGGTTTAGGGTTTAGGGTTTAGGGTTTAGGGTATCTTTTTTGGGCTCCTCGGGTTCGGTGCAGTCAGGGTTGCCAAATGTTGCCACAGTGCTACCATTTTGCTTAAGAACCCAAAAAAATGAACAATATGTTCCTTAGAAGGGTAATCATAAAGGGATTGTGTTTTTTGTTTGGGGGGGAGAGGGGGTTCTTAAGCAAATGGTAGAGTGTGGGCGCCAAGCCGAGACCGAATGGTCAGAACGGCAGATTGAACTTGGCTGGGGTTTAGGGGTTTTGGGGTTAGGGGCTGAGGGGCTTAGGGGCTTAGGGGCTTAGGGGGGTTTAGGGGCTTAGGGGCTTAGGGGCTTAGGGCTTAGGGGTTGGGGGCCTTAGGGGGGCTTAGGGGCTTAGGGCTTTAGGGGGCTTAGGGGCTTAGGGGTTTAGGGGGGTTTGGGGGGTTTAGGGGTTTGTCTTTGCCTCCTTCGTCAGGGCAGGGAGATCAACAGCCTCTCCCTTGGCGCCACGGCTGCACATGTAGGGTTTAGGGTTTAGGGTTTAGGGTTTAGGGTTGAGGGTTTCGGATTTCGGGTTTAGGGTTTAGGGTTTAGGGTTAAGGGTTTAGGGTTTAGGGTTTAGGGTTTAGGGTTTAGGGTTTAGGGTTTAGGGTTTAGGGTTTAGGGGAATCCCTGATCATGGCACAAGCCGTGATCCAACTTTGTTTTTTCTTCATGCTGCTGTTTTCTGTACCTTTCTGTGCTCGGTCAGAAGCTCAACCTAAGCCAGCGGCACCCCACTCTACTTCGAAGTGGGGGGAGGGGGGGGGGGGGGGGGCTGCTTTGCAGGCCCCAGGCAGGAGTGAGCTTTGTGCCTGCAAGCCCTGGATAGCGTGACTTCTTTACGGGCTTAGCCTTCAAGCCTGGAGCCTTGCCACGTCTACTCGCGCTGAACATACTGGGCGCTCTACTCCCCCTCCCCCCCTTCCTCCTCCCCCTCCAAACAAGGAGCCCTTTGTCTCCAAGCCAAAGCCCAATTTTTTGGAGGGATGCTAAGCCTTCGAAGATCCCCCGAATCCTGAACCCTTCAACCCCAATTAAGGGCAAGGAGGCCGGTCAAATGCTGCAGCCGACATGGCCAAAAAGCCCTCAAGACAGGACCCTGTAGAGGGCCTTTTAAGCGATTATAGGGTACAATAGCCCATCCTGGAAACAAGAACCCAAAACAACAAGCCTCAACCTGCACCGACTTCTTAAACAGACGAATAACATAGCTATGAAAGCATCCGGCTCTGAACCCAAGGTCAGGGCCAGGGGCCCAAAGCAGAGAGGCTGCTGGCCGATGCCACACAAAACGGGAGCTGGGCCAGGGCCTCGGCAAGGGGATGCATCTTTGTTTTGTTTTTGACAGCTTTCGGGATGTTCTAGGGTTTAGGGCTTAGGGTTTAGGGTTTAGGGCTGAGTGCTCATGATGTTCGGCTGGAGTCGTTGGGAGCACATTGACGCATTTCTGGGGAACAGGAAGTCAGGATCAATTTCCCACTCAGGCTGCTAGTTGGCGGGTCTTCGGTGAGGCAAGTACGTATATTGTATGTATGCATGTATGCATGCATGTATATGTATATATATATAGATATATATGTATATGTGTATATATTTACATCTCTCTCTCTCTCTATCTAGACGAACGGGTGGACGGGTCTGCATGTGTTGTTCTCGTCGTTGGCCTTGTCGTTGTTGCCGAAAGACAAGCATTGGGGATGGGACTTGTGCACAAGTTCGACCCCAAAGCCCTCATAAAACCCTAAACCCTGAACCCCCTCATAAAACCCGTGCTCGCAGGTTCTGCTGCAGAACTGTCACCTCTTTGCCTCCTGGATGCCGAAGTTGGATAAGATTCTGGAGCCCTGGCTGCACTTGTCTTTATAAACCCTAAACCCTAAACCCTAGGCTATATCAGTACACACATGTGCAGTTTATTCCTATGTGGGATTAGAGAGACCCTTGAAAGTTGGCCCTTCTGGGGCTATGAAGGATGGACCTCATTGAGAGGGTCTATGTCCCCAAGGGTCCCCCTAATCCTGTTTAGGGTTTAGGGTTTAGGGTTTCGGGTTTAGGGTTTAGGGCCTCCTACCTCCTATTCATCTGCGAAGCTGTGCTGTATCGGTACCGGCCAGTACCGGCAACAGCAACTTCGCACACGGTCAAACACGGTCAGGGACTGCCCCTGCCCAACCCTCCTGAACGTGAAGCTCAAAAAAAAGATCTCCGCAACCTAAACCCTAAACCCTAAACCCTAGACCCTAAACCCTAAACCCTCCTCTGGTGAGGAGCAAATGGATCCGAAGCAGACGAACTCCGACTTCCGGCCGCGCTGGCAGTCTGAAAGCTCCAGCCTTCAGGGCGTTTATTATCATTATCATCATCATGATTATTATTACTATTACTATTACTATTACTATTACTATAACTATTACTATAACTATTATTATTATTACTATATCTTTTCATTCTTATGATTTTATGTTTATTATTCATATTGTTAGAACTACTATTATTTTAGTGGGAGCTCATGCGGGGCCTTTCACTAATCGTGTGAATTGATGGGTTTCTTCTTTTCTTCCAGCGTTGGATAGGGAGTCGGACGAAAAGCTCACCATCCCCATCCAAGCCCATTAAGGAGCGCAGTGGCTTGAAGCCGTCCTATAGGTCATCATAAGTTCAAACTCATCGGACATCTCATCCCACCCGTCAGCAGAAGCCGAAGGCAGCCATCGGAGATTTTCGGTATCTCTGCCAGGCTTTGGCTCACGTCTTACCCATCAGACAAGTTCCCGGCGGGGCGCTTTGACACATCGGGTTTCGGACTTTGCGAACTCGGGGTTTTGTCCGGAGTTAGGGCTGCGGGTGAGAAGGTGGCCAGGTGGAAGCAGGCGGTTTTGCGATGGAGGGGTTGGGGGCCCTGATAACTAAAGCTTACGTTGGCAGAGTGGAGCCATGTGGAGCCATTTCCCTAAAGCCTTACCCTGACAATTGCTGTGCGGGGGCAATTGCGGAGAGCTCCTCTCCAGCTAGAGCCGACAGCTTAACATCCCCGATTCCGTCGTTACCTCCAACTCTTAGGAATGTAGGATGGTGATCTTCGCCCGCCAGATTTTTGCTTGCGAAATCCAGGAGCCCACTGCTTGCCCAGGTCGCAATTCTGCAGAACAGTGCCGGGACGCCCAGCAAAATCGGGCTTATTCGGTTATTCGGTTCCTCTGGCTCTGAGTTTATGCTTGAAGACTTCGAGAGCCGAAGAGACTCTGAGATCAGCTCTGCGTCCGAGCAGGGATGATAAGGAGGACGTGCCCACGTCCGACTTCTTGCCGTTTTGCTGTGCTCTCGCTTGATATTGCGATGGCAAGTTTGCTGGGCTTGAGCAAGCCCTTAGCCTCAAGTTCTCATTCCAAAGTACTTGTGCACAAGCATTGCAAGGCATTGACTACCTGCCGCTAGATACTCGTACCTAAATCAAATATCCATACCCTCGAACACGCAAGCATGTGTAGCTGAATGATGCATGCGGTTGCACTCGATGGCTGGTGTTGAAGAACCTGCAATGGCAACTGCAACTTAGGGCTTGTAAACTCTTCATGAATCGGCAAAAAGCAAGGCAATGCTGAGATCGGCTGTGGGTCGCTCCCCCCGCCTCCCCCCCTCCCCTCGCCTGGTGTCTTTTTTTCTAGTTGTAGAAGCCTCTTGTATAGGAGGAGCCCGCTGACCCACTTGGTGAAAAAATGTACGACGACTCGCAGAGGAATCCACCAGCCGCAGGTGAAGATCACCAATGAGGCTCCTCAGGGCCTGCGGATGAACCTCGAGGGGTCCTACTTGATGGCGCCGACCCCAGCGCAACCTTGGGCCGATCTTTGGGGTGGAAGTGCTCAGATTCAAGTGCTGAATGTTGTGCGCAAGTACAAAAAGGACATTGAAGTAACACCAAGGGAGGCATTTGACACGCACTGATGTAACAATGACTCGTGGGTTTGGGGGGCGTGCCCCATTGAGAGTTGGAGCGTTTGGGCGAGACAGTTTGCATCAGTTCGACATCCTTTCCACAACAATGAGCAGTCTGCAAGGCTTTCTGATGCTTAGTTTGTGTTGAAGGCTGCTACGCTGTTCTTCCCCACTTCACTAAGGACCCTATCAGCAACGAGGAGTTCTTCGAGGCGTGCAAAAATCCGGAGGCTCCTTGGCTTGAAAAATCATCTTTAATTGCCCGATGGCGGGCGTTTCTAAGGTCATCGCATGCAATCTGTTCTGCATGTCTCGCGTTTGAGCAAAGATGAAAACCCAAGCACGTTCCAGCACCATCCAGTGCAAATGCCCCCCCCCCCCTTTCTTGGCCAGGCTTTCAAGCGGCTACTCTACGCGCTTTGCTTTTTCCATGCCGTCATCCAGGAGTTTCGGGTTTGCAGCAACAGGGTCGCGGCGCAGGGTTGATCACAAGCACGAGGTAATAGTTCTCGCCTGAGGAGCCAAGAACGGTGGAATAGTTGCGGGTATTAATGGATCCTAGCAGATGGAAGGGCCCTGACAAGCCGCCACCCGTACATCCGGGAGCCTTGAACTATGCATGAAAGCAGGAGAGCCACTCAAATTTGTTATGGGGCCACGCTGTCGTTTGAGGTAGGCGTGTCAGTTACAAAGCTGTCACAAGTAGCATGACCCTAAACCCTAAACCCTAAACCCTATAAACCCTCTTGTGCTGCGATGGATTCACACTGGCAGGGATGCAATATGCATCCGGGAGCCAGCTGACTGACCCTCCTAGCAACTGCCCGCGATGTCATGGGCGCCTGCGAGCCCAGAATATCTGCAAGAAATAAGAGGGGCACCCAGCGGAATGGAGCCTAAAGTGCGGCAGATGATGCAGGGGATGCAGAGCATGATGGAAGGCTTCACAAGACGAGGAGGGTGAGAAGAAACGACCTGGGTCCAGCTCCAGCAAAAGAGCGCGATCCAGGTGAAAGGCGTTCACATGTGTGGAGTTGCCTATCTAGGATGCCCAGTAGTACCCTTATTCCCTTCTTTGGGGGTTTAGGTTCCCTTATAAACCCCTTTAAGCAAAAAAGGGCACCCTTTTTTAAGCCTAGGTTACTGGGCAGCCTAGCTATGATGGCTTCTCTGCACACATGTCACTGCACCAAGGCTCTCCAATATGCATCGAGTATAGGAGACCGAGAGCACAAGGCCTTGGCCTTCACTGCGCAACCCTTGCCAACAAAACTCTACTTGTACTGTGGAGTATGAGTCCTGAGAGTCCTGAGTGTGCATTTAGGGTATAGGGCTTAGGATTTAGGGTTTAGGGTTTAGGGTTTAGGGTTTGCTTTCTGCACGAGTATCTGGGCGACTGTGAGTGCTTTGAGCAAGTTTGTGCATCAGTCACAAAGCCTGGGCCAGCGAACAAAGCATCCACAAGCCCCCCTTTTTTTGCAGATTTGCAACTCCCTTCAGCCTTGGAGCACGAGGTGAGGAGAATTGCAAGAGTGCGCAAGAAGTATCAACCCCAAGGCCTAAAGTTTCAACGGTTTGCCGCAAAAAAAAACCCAAATGAGCGACCGTCAAAACTAGTGTGGATGTCCTTTAGGAAGGGACGGACATCAATGTATGGCTTGATGGCCTTTGATCTGCAGAACGATAGGGGCACACGCAGAGAACGATGACCCCAACATGATGATTAGTATATGCTATGAAGGGGCTTAGTATGAAATTAGCGGAAGAGCTTTTTAACCTTCAGAACGATGTGGGACACGCAGAAAACGATAACCCTAACATCCATGTCCTTCAGCTTAACAAGTAAGATTGACCGCGGCTCAAATCTCCAGGCATGTAGTTTAACTACTAGTTAGTGCACAAATCTCGAGGCACGTAGTTTAACTACTACTTAGTGCAAACATCCCGCCCTTCACAGGAGCGTCGTCTCTTCGGTCCTTTAGGCCACCGAACTCAGCAGCTGGAGGGGGGTGTTTGATTGCCGCACGTGGGATTGAGGGCCTGAGTATGCGCGTTGAGTGACGCGTAGCCGCTAAAGCAGAAAAGACCAGAGCAGGAAATGGCTGCTGAACTTGTAAAAGTCCGTCAGGAGCTTTTCCAAGCAGCTCAGTGGGGTCCACGCCCTTAATTTCCGCAGTTGAGGCTGGAACATTCCGTATGAGTTCACCCAGAACGCAGCTGGGCCAAACCTACAATTCGGGGGAGCTTTCTTTCCGGGGTTTTCCTCGCCTTCGTTGATATGGGCATGCATCGCTCTAGAATATGGCCTATTTTATTCAAGGCAAGCTTGTCGCAACATGCCGGCCCGTATACAGGATACAGGCGATGAGAGCAGTCCCATTTTTTTTTGGGGTGGGGGGGGGGCATAGTGGCAATGCGACTATTGCTGTTGTTCCGTTTCGCTCAGGACCTGAGAATTTCGGCGAGGCAGCTCCAGATGTTCATCGATGAGTCCCCTGAGCAGATTCAGTACAAGGCTTCACTTAAGCTGCTGCCTCTGAGTTGACGCAGTGCGTTGGCGGCTGACGGTTCTTCTGCTTAGAACGTGTTGCTGTGAGTCCCCTGTCATGAAACATGTGCCATTCTACAGCAAAAGCATGAACATGAAGCAAACCAAGCTCGGGCTTCGAAATTTGAAATCTCGGAGGCCATCAACTATTTGGCTGGCGAGTGCAACTATGGTGGTCGCGTGACGGAAGCGCAGGAGACATGGTAGACACGGTGGTGCATTCTGTTGCTGGGAGCTTCTGGGATTCTGCACGAGTCCACAGGCACTAGTCGCCTGAAAGCCAAAATCACTGCGTGAGTTCGAAGAAGTCTCAATCCCCGACGGTAAGTTGGGAGAAGTCCTTGGACAGGGACCTCTGCCGACAAGGGCCCTAAGCAAGGGTGCCCTGCTCAACAATGCTGTGGCAGACCGGGTGGTTAAGTTAGGGCTCGGGAGATAGCAGTAAAAACGCAGCAGCCCGATTAATTGACCGAGTCAGGAAGACTTCGCTCTTCGCTCGTGAGGCCTTGTCTTGGTACTACCCCGCCAGCATGGAAACCGCCCCAGCATAAGGAAGGAGGGCCATTCAAAGCAACGATACATGCTCAGTGGCTCCACTCTGTCGTGACCACAAGAGACAAAATCCCGGAGTGTTGACATCTTTGATCGCAGGGCTCAAGTTCCGCAAATCTCATGTGCTCGAAGCACTCAACGTTCTACCCTTCTCAATGTTCCACCCTTCGATCAGTCTTTAGCAGAAGGATCGGCGCCTTCTGATGATCCTGCTGCTGGATTACTACAATGCCGACGTGCTCAAGCCAGGCACAAAGACCAATGTAAAGCCTGACCTCAACTACGTTTACCAGCGCAATGCTTTGTATACGCCTCCTCCCCCAAAAAACAAGCACAGGTCTGGGTCTTGCGGACCCGGTGCGGGTGCTTAAGCTGCTATACGTTTGCAAATACTGTCACGTTTAAGTACTTTGGGAGAACTTGATATCCTTGATACGCTGGCTAGTCTATTAGGGTTTGGCCGGTTTGTGTTGATAGCGAACGTAGTGAGTGCCTTGCAGCATCTGGTGATTGACAGATCCTGATTAGTTGTCCCACACTATTGTGATGGAATGATGGCGAGCTGCAGGGGCGATTATGGACAAACCGGACCAAAATTGAACTGGAGGGGCAGCTTTCCGCTTATTCTTGCTATTTCTTGCCAAAGCTCTCTGCATGCTCCCGGCTCCGGTGCTCCCAAGCTGCTTCGGCGTCTCGGAGTCGGCCCGCCTCTTCTTGTGTTTCGGTGTGATGACGCCCTAGTCCGGGCCGCGTCAAGGCCGGTTGTCGGGATGCATGCTCCGGTAGGAGTAGCATCTACCCCAGAGGTTTCCGGCCACGAACTTGCCAACTTAGACGATGCGGCCTCTCTCAGGCTCGAGCCCGTCGTAAAGGCTAGAAGCCCCAACGCCCTAAAATCAAAAGAGGCAGGAAGCTTCTAATGCCCGACATTTGCCTCACGCTTTCTTCCCGAACCTGCCGCGATACTGTTGACAAAAGCCAGGATGTGATCTTGAGATCACGGGGCATCAGCACGTCGCGAGTCAAAGCTTGTACCCTAACGTCTGTGTTCCAGCTAAAAAAACGTTCTGAAATTAGGCACATGTCGGTGTGCTGTAGCTGGCAGGGCCTCCATGTAGTTCTTTAGAAGCTGGCGTTCTTTAACGTATTTTACCTCCGGCATGGATCTTTTGAGATGCCACGGGGCTGTAGGGTGGTTTGCCCTCAACTTAAGATGCGCAGCTCTGTGTCGAAGGCCATCCGCTCTGTGCGGAACATCCTGAGTTCACGGTGCCCCCGCCCGGTACCCTGGAGGCTCGGAGTACACTCGCATGCTCCCTCAGTTTAGGGTTTAGGGTTCAGGGTTCAGGGTTTAGGGTATAGGGCTTCAGAAAGGACTGTTGTGAGGCGGAGTTGTTGAGTAGTTTTCAATCATTTAATAAGGTTTAGGGGTTAGTAAACGCTTACAACTTTAAACTTATGGCCTCACAACAGTCCTTTCATAAGTGGGAATCTTGACCGTGATGTTTGGCATACATGATTTGGGGGGGGGGGGGGGAGGGGGTCCTTGGAAGTTGGCCCATCTTGGCAGGAGTCCCCCCCCCCCTCAAGCGTAACAGCCGTAGCTGTGCCACAGTTGGTTTGCTTTCACGTATTTCCAGACATGTTATTCGGAAGTTCCCTGTTTCGAAACACAGCCTTTGTTTCGAAACACAGCCCTTGTTTTGAAACATGGATCTCCCCGTCACAGCCACAATTGGTTCAAAAAAATATCAAGTCAAAGCCATGTCTTCTCAGCCGCTTGCTGTCCAGGGCTTCGTCAGCTTTGAGCAGGGCCGGGCTAATCTCACCTTGGTTCCATCAACGACTACACCTACGGCATCCTCACACAATGCCTCCTTTCCATGCGATGCCAAGGAAGACCTACAGGATCAGAGTGGGAAAAGAGATCTACGTGATCACATCATGGCTCAAATCCGCAGTGGCACCATTACACCTCATCCCTCCAGGATGCCTTTGAGCGCTCGGACGTTGGCATCACAAATAGCGCATGCGCAAGTCAAGACACACATCCAGCCCACGGGTGTGTATGGGGCGTGGAACCCAGAGGCCGAGCAGAAGTTGATTGCCACGCTCACGCGGTCTTTACGGTACCAAAAGCCCCAGGCTATCGAGGATAAGAAGCCCGACGGAAAGCCCCAGGCCATCGAGGATAAGAAGGACGAGAATGAGGAGAAGCACCATGCCCCAGCTATCGAGAATGGCGCGCCAACCGTCGTAGACAGCGCCCCATCCGCCCACGAGAAGGACCATAACATCCCGAACCAGAAGGCCAACATCGCTGTGGACAACAAGTCTTCGGATGACTCCTCGGATTCTTCTTCTGATTCCTCTTCGGATTCCTCGCCATCAAAATCGTCACCGCCCCTGCCCAATCTCTCCCGGGAATGAAGGTCGATCTGCTCCTGCATGACGACGCATGCCACTTTGAACAGTACGTGAAGAAAAACCATCCCGATGTCTTCAGCGACATCAAGTACTACGTGGTGGACGCCTTTCATGCTCCAAATCATAAATGTTCCAAACGTTACTGGACTGGAGCTGTCAAGAGACGCTGCCAGAACGTACGCACAAACATCCCAGAAATTTTCAATGCTTGGATCCGTAGCCTGAACTTCTTCTTCAATTCGCTCAGGCCTCATTCGCACAAGTTTTGGGTAGCAGAGGCTTGCAGGTTCTACAATGAGAACCTCAAGGATGTAGCCGTCCACATTGGCCGCCGCACGAATGTTGTTGCGCGCCAACGTAGAGGCAAGGCCCACAAGAAACCAGCTGCTGCTCGCAAGAAGCCGTCTGCAGCATGCCGTTTCAAGGCCCATAAGAAGCCAGCTGCTGCTCGCAAGAAGCCGTCTGCAGCACGTCGCCAGTAATCCGTACATCTGCTTTGCACTCGCAACAAAATGAACTTAGTCCAAAACACTGCATCACATTCAAAAAAGCTCCGCCTCACAACAGTCCCCTCTCTAGGGCTTAGGGTTCAGGGTTTAGGGTTTAGGGTATGTTGAGCTTGGAGTGCTTGGATCTCTTTTGAAGCGAGGTTCGGGGATCCAATCTTCCCTTCTCTGCATGTCTCCACTGTATCCGTATTGTCTTTGGTGCACGATCGCATTAGAGAGCGTCGTAGCTGTCCCACTTGTTTGGGGAATGAGCGGGAAGCCCGCTACGCAGCAAGCACAGCACCGTTATCAGCGTTTCTATTCATTCCTCCTTCCGCTTCAACCCGTGACAGTCACGGACGTGTAAGTCGAGTTGCACGCAGGAGACGCTCGAAAACATCCGACACACGCCGATGACGACCCCTCCGGGAATCTACGGTGCGCCGGAATGCAGGGGTTCCAGAATGACATTCGGATTTTGTGGTCTTTTGTGTCGGTTCGCTTGGGATCTGCAGGGAAGTGGTTCTTATACAGGACTGTTCAGACCTGCATATAACCTCATCTTGAGCAAAGAAGCTAATTCGCTGTCGGGTACTCGCGTCTGAAACAGCAACACAAGGTAATTGAGCACTTCTCTGCGTGATCTTGAACTTACTCCGGTTTGTGCCTCATGTGCCTCTGTTTGCCTTGAGCCTCGTGAGCTTTTGGCTTGTGGCAATGGATTTGAGTTCTTTGGGCTCTGTCAAAAAGCATTGCACAGGATTGCAGAAGTGTGTGACGGGGCAAGCTCCAAGCTTGTCAGTCGTTCTGGGCAGGTTCCCTCAGGTGATCTCAGGTGTAGTTGCTGCCACTTTGCAGCACCTCACACACAGGGTGGCAGAAGGCCCTAGCAATGTTGGAACCCAGGATTGTAGTTACTCCTAGATGTTTTTTGCAAACTTCACGCTCTGGAGAGAAGCTGCTGCAGGCTTCCACACGAACGCCAATCTCACGCGCGAGCAGAATGAGACCTATGCTCTTGGGACTGCATGTGGTCGACACCCACGTCTGTGCAATGTGGTTTCCGGGTTGTGCTCCATTCCTAAAGCTGGAGCCGTCAAGAATCAGGAGGGTAGTATGAGCCAGCCGGGCGCAAGTTTTTGCCAGAGCAAGCTTAAGCTTTCCTGAGCACAGGCTCATGGCCCTGGGCGCTAGCTCAAGAAACGGGTTTGAGCTGAACATCTGATCCTGCACACTTCTAGGTTGTCTGTCCATTGGGGTGTGCTATCTTGTGCCAAAACTAGCGTGTTCAGGGGTTCCAATGATGACGCATTTTCTTCAGGAAAGCGCAAGGCAACAACATGAAATATCACCGCTTCGCAGCTTGATTGCTTTGCATCGTCAGAGAATGACTGATGTGGCTCCCCTGATGCCTACACAGCCGAGGCTATGATGGAAAGCCTGCTTCTGACTGTGGGCCAGGCAAGTCCGTCAGGGAGTTAGTCGGAGCCAGGGGGGGTCAGCTCAAGATTCACCTGGCAAGTTCCATGCGCTGTGCCATAAGTTGTGCCAAGCAATGCTCGCATGTCAAGGTTGAGCAAACCAGGGCCTCTATCTGAAAGCTGAGAGCAAGGATGTTCAGTCTGTGGCCCCGGTTCTGTTCAGAAGTACCCGAAACCAAGAAGAGTCTGGAAACATGCAAAGAGCGTCTAGGCAGCCATTGGGCTGTTGGGCATTTCGTATTGTATCAAAAGGCCATGTCACGAGTTGATCACCGTGCTAAGCAACATCCTAAGCCTTATGCTTTGCAGGCCTCCGGCAGCGGGGGCTCATCGGCAGAGGAGACAGTGGGCGAGGCTCCATCAGTTTTGGGTCTTGGGTTGGAGCGTTCTGGGCTTCAAGGCAGCAGCAGAATAAGTTGGCTGAGAGTGAGACATAGCGTACACGACCGCACCATGGCCACTGTCATCACAATGGGCTCAGCTTGTAGGCCAACTTGGCCCAACGCAATAAACCCTAAACCCTGAACCCTAAACCCTGAACCCTAAACCCTAAACCCCAAACCCTAAACCCTAAACCCTACACGACATGCAACCCAGGCTGCCAATGACATCTTGCGGCGGCTGCCGGAACAGTTCGACCTGGTGGAGGTGCAGAAGAGGCCTTGCACCACGATGGGGTTTAGGGTTTAGGGTTTAGGGTTTAGGGTCTTGGTTAGGCCGGAGGTTCAAGCTCAAGACCAGGGATTCTCATGAGTTTACTTATCCAGAACGGGTTCCGGCTTTCCAATCGCATATGACCGGCTTCTTCTCGCCTGCAGCCAAGTCGGCAGCCGACATAGACGCAAGACTCACTAAGGTCTTGTGAGCATTAATGGTTTAGGGTTTAGGGTTTAGGGCTTAGGATGAAAGATGTCTGCTCATTGCATTTTTCGGGGGCCAGCCCAAGACCGGGCAGGTATCCCACCATGTACGAAGAGTCCATGAATACCGTTCTCATTCAGGCCTTTCGGCTGGGAGACTGGGAGATTTGTGTTTTGGGCTGCGTGTCGTTCTGTGGTTCTGCAGGTGGGGGGCGGGGGTGGGGGCAGAGACGCCTCCCATTGTAAGCCGCAACGAACAACGAACGAGGGGGTTCAGACGCAAAATCTGACACAGAGTCGTTGCCTATCATGGCCACCATGAACACTGTGCGCCACTGAGACAAGGCAGAGACAATCAGTTAGTTCAATGGCCAGCCGGTCCCAGTTGACACGCGCAGCTTAATTATGCAGAGCTTGCGCTTAGCTTATCTGCAGCTTACGCGGATTTCCAGACATAGTGCAAACATGCTGTCATGCTCACACCTGCTAGTCAGAAGCCTGGCCACAGTCCCGAAACTTAGCTCTTGCGAGACACGCCCAAACCTGTTGCTTACATGGACCCTTACGTGGACCTTACGCGTGTACTTTGTGCTGACGGGAGCCTAGGCTTTTGCTCTTGACCAGTTTTTGAGATCGCTCTGGTGACCACTAAGAAGCGAAAGAAACAACTTGCGGGGGTCATGTTTCCATCTCTACTTGAACGGGGCCTACAGGACACCTAACAAAGCAGTACGCCAGACTCCAGCTAGATGTGCACTCTACGGACCTTGCGACACCAATTGACCAACTGCAACCCCCCACTGGAACTCCCAATTCCTCAGCCTCAGTCTCTCTTCCCTCTTCCCAACTTGAACTCGATTCGGGCAAGCCAAGTTTTACAGCGAATCCGGAACCGGGAGTTTCCTGGCCGCTCAAGAGGAACTCACGCGCTTCAACGGCCTCACGACGGTGATCGCTGCAACGTTGAAGGACCCTCACAGACCCTCCTCCTTCGTCGTTGTGCTGCATGCTGCATCCCATCTCAGTTTGCAGATTCTACATGAGACGCTGGGATTCCGAATGGGGTTTAGGGTTTAGGGTTTAGGGTTTAGGGTTTAGGGTTTAGGGTTTAGGGTTTAGGGTTTGGGGTTTGGGGTTTGGGGTTTGGGGTTTACAAAATTCAACTGAGCCCGCGTTGGTCCACGTTGGCACAATATCGCGCACAAGGACATCCAGAAGGCGATTCAGGGACTCCTTCTGATGAGACCACGCCTCGGTTGCTTTTTGTTTAGGGTTTAGGGTCTAGGGTTTAGGGTTTATGGTTTAGGGTTTAGGGCTTAGGGCTTAGGGCTTAGGGTTTAGGCACCTGGCTGTGCTAAAACTTGTGGACAGCGCACCATTGTGAGCTGCCCCCAAGACTCTTGCAGAACGCTGTGCTAAGGCCCAGATTTGGAGCAGGTCTTCCTGTCCATCTTCAATGGCAAGACGCTAGGGTCCTATGAGGCTGGTGGAGAGTATACAAAAGCATTGCAAAGCCCTGAACCCTTGCACGCCCCACTACTTCCACAAACCACTTTGGAGTGCTCGGGCAACCTCCAAACCTTGCCTTCAATCTGCCGGCTCCAAGGCCAGCCATGTGGCTCGCCAACAGCTACCCCTCGCTGAAGCCTCTGGGCGGCTACACCAACGCGCCATCCTCAGCGCGGCTTCAACTTCAACCGCCTTCAACAGCTTAGAAACCGGACAAGCCTGACTTTGGGCGCCCTGTCAACTGATTGAACCCCCGGCAAGTTCCGCGCAAGCGCGGTCAAATCATGCCAGCCTAGACCCCAAACTGTGAGAGAACATGTGGCCAAGAAGTCCGAAAGCCACGGCAGTTTCGCGTTTTGGATGCAGTCGGCGAACACATGACATCGAAAAGCGACGACCATGTCGCACTTGGTGGCACACAGACGTCCAGCAGCGACGACAGTTTCGAGGACGGCTAGTGCCGCCGCGCCTGCGCCTTTCGGCGAGAGCACGATTTTGAGCACGATTTTCGTCCAAGGCTTCGAGAAAACCGCGTGGTCCGGACGGCGAGCGCCGGCTACATGCAGTGACATGCACATAGAAACGAGTACTTGTAACAGTAGCAGATATAATGCACCAGAGTCTAAGTCTAAGGACGACGTTGAGGGCCTCTGAGATGCAGAGAATACTAGGGAGGTCCTAAACCTGAACCGATTGCTTTCCCACACGTCGACTGGCAAATGTCCGAGCCGTCCCAATGAAACCAATCCTTGCATGTCCGCGGTTGGGACACGCACCCTGCGAGAAGTCCACATCCGGACCCATTCTCTGGATTTCTTTGGCGGGACGGGCTGTCAACAGGTACACACACACACATTTCCGTAGTAAGAGGTGCAACATCCAAGGAAGCAAACTTTCCCAGACATGTTCCCAACTTTTGGATGCTGGGTTCAGGTCTCAGGGTGCTGCGTGTGTGTGTGTGTGTGTGTGTGTGTGTGTGTGTGTGTGTGTGTGTGTGTGTGTGTGTGTGTGTGTGTGTGTGTGTGTGTGTGTGTGTGTGTGTGTGTGTGTGTGTGTGTGTGTGTGTGTGTGTGTGTGTGTGTGTGTGTGTGTGTGTGTGTGTGTGTGTGTGTGTGTGTGTGTGTGTGTGTGTGTGTGTGTGTGTGTGTGTGTGTGTGTGTGTGTGTGTGTGTGTGTGTGTGTGTGTGTGTGTGTGTGTGTGTGTGTGTGTGTGTTGTGTGTTGTGTGTGTGTGTGTGTGTGTGTGTGTGTGTGTGTGTGTGTGCGTGCGTGTGTGCGCGTGCGTGTGTGCGTGTGTGCGTGTGTGCGTGTGTGCGTGTGTGCGTGTGTGCGTGTGTGCGCGTGTGTGGGTGTGTGTGTGTGTGTGTGCGTTGTGTGTAAAGTTTCGAAAGCCCACCGCAACATTGATGCCTGAGAACAGTTTGGTTTCGAAACATTGCCTCTTCTAATTGCGGATACCCTAAACCCTAAAACCTCAACTCTAAACTCTAAACCCACACATTAGGGTAAGGAAGGACTGCCGGGACACCATGGGGCCCTCACGTGCGAACAGCACCGCCTCTCATCATAGCATGAGGCTTTCCGATATGGAATCATCGGATACTTTTTTTGAAAGTGTTCCCTAAGTATCAACTTCCACCAAGCCTGCACTTGCATGTCGGCTATTGGAATCTAGTATACAGCGATGTAGAGATAGATGGACGACGGCACAGAACTATGTCCCAGAACTGAGCACATGAAACTGAGGACCTGATTGAGCGGCTGAGGTTCTTCCAGGCGTGGTGCAAACTAGGTTTAGGGTTTAGGGTTTACTGTAGGGTTTAAGGTTTAAGGTTTAGGGGTGTTTTAGGTGTACGTTTGCTGGCAGGGATCATGTGTAGCACTCAATGCCAAACATGATCAAGAAGGTGAAGCCAAACTCTGGTGATTGAGTGCAAAAAGCCTCGCAAACATCTCGTCCCAGCTTAGGTTGGACAGGGTGGTTTATCGGAGCAGGGAAAAGGTTACCAAGAATCCGGTACCGATAAGTTGAAGTTCCGATAAAAGGCTAGGCATTTATAGATTTTAAGCAAGAGTGCCGTGAAGCTTTAACCTGCGGTCCCATATCCAGACCATTAGAACACTTTCACTATCTTGCACAGGCCTGGATTGACAATGGCATTCCTGTGACCTTCTGGCTCAGCGGGATTTACTTCACGCAGGCCACGCAGCGTCCACGCTGCCAATGTCTCTGTTGAGAGACCCTCAACCCTAATCCCTAAACCCTAAACCTTGGGCCTCTTGCTCCCGTGACGAATTGTCTGAAGAGGCTTCGTGTTTCTGTTAGGTGGACAGTGCGCACACGTACACGCTTGAAGGACCAGTTTTTGACTCAACATCGCAACTCAGAAGTTCTCCATGGGCGAGCAGATATAAGCCGTCTCACCAGAAGCAAGACTAGCTACAGACCACAAGCGCGCCAAAGATCCAGCAGCACTCTTTCCCCTCTTTCTAGTTTACATGTTCTCTCCCAGCATGTTTAGCCGCAGGCATTCACAACGGGTGCTGCTCAGAATTTCGCTCGCAGGTGGGCGAGGGTGCAGCAAGCTTGCACGCCTAGGACCTAGGACCTAGGACCTAGGACCTAGGACAGCATCTGGCGTAGCATTTGCCGCAAGCCGATATAACGCAGCGGGTCGAGTACGTTTCAACATGACATATTTAGTCGCATCCAAGAGCTTCCCCGCCGGTCATTTGGGAGAGCACGTCTTCCATCTTACACGTGGGACTTGATGAAATTTGAAATCCGGTGTGAAACTCAAAAAATGGCATGTGCTCACAGTGGTTTCTGATTGGAGTGCCCATGTGCATCTGGATGCCATGCCGTGAGGAACCTGGAAGGGCCGGTAAGATCCAATTCAGGGAGTGAAACCGAGAATGCGACCGACGAGGATTTGCACGAGTTGTGCGTTCCAGCCCCCGCCCCATACTCACATGGGTCATTATTCCCTTTAACCCCTTTAAAAGGCCCTTTATAGGGTTGGTTAGAGGGATTATAAGGCCCAATAGCCCATGCTGGTACACCCCTCCCAGTAGTCTCGGTGCCACGTCGATGTGTGGCCTGCTGGCATGAGAATAAATCTTCGGTCGCCCTTATATAAACTTACATGAATAAGATATATACGTGATAGTTTGTAATAATCATTTAATATACAAAGTATATAGACAGATGCCACCGTCCACACACATCTGGCCTCGACTTGTGGTCGTTGCAATCGGCACGGCACTGCAGGGCTTCGAAATGTAGGGACCTTAGGAAGCTGAAGCCAGGTACACGATCCCTATCGACACCTTGGTCTTCGACTACGAGATGCCGCAGGAGAGAGCTTGGGATTTTGGTGCAGTGTCGCCCGCAGTCTCAGTTCAACGATCCTGGGAGTGCACAAGGTTGCTGAGTTGCAGCTTTCAAAGCGCAGCAGATGATCCCAATGTTCCCTGCCCAAGAAGCACGGCACGGCGACATGGTGGCACTACCAGCGGCTGTACTCGTGAAAGCAGCGATGTTCACGTCCTGGCAAACCGTCAGGAGCGCAAACCATCGTAAAGCCCAGAGCGTTGCTGCACAAACTCAAGTTCACATCGCACGGTAGCCGCCACGGCTTGTGTTGGAAAGGTTTGGAAGGCGTACGGGCCAGCAACCCCCACATATTTTTTAGCGTTTGCGTTGGAAAGGTTCGGAAGGCGGGCTAGCAACCCCGCACTTGTTTTTTGAAGGGATTTTGTTGGAAAGGATTTTGACGGCGTGCGGGCCAGCAATCCGCACTTGTTTTTAAGAGCTCATGTTATGGAAGGCGTGTGGCGCGGCCCAGCAACCCGCACTTCACGAGCTTGTGTTGGAAGCATGGAGACACGGGTACAACAACAATGATGACAACATCGTACAGCGAAGACGTTGCGCCATGATTATGTAGCACTTGCAGGTGTCTCCGTTGGCCCTAGTCCCAGCAAGGCTTCGAGAGTGTACTCTAGTGGCCCCACACACACGCTGAACTGTTCACAGGACCAGCATCCTGTCGCGAAGCCAGACAATGGGGTCCTCGCCTAAGCTGGCACGTGCCCAAAGCAATATTGTACGTTGGCTTTAGGTTGTGATAGCCTGGTTGTGGCACGTTTCTCTTCAATCCCGATGCGAGACCGTGGGCGGAATAACGCACCGACCTGGCTAAGCTAACCGCTGTCCTTAAACCCGATACCCTGAACCCTAAACCGTTGAGAATCCCAGGTCTTCTGCTACGGCCTCTTCCTGGAAGGGTGCAAATGGGACTGGAGTGAGCCCGGTGCTGAGGATCCCAAAGGAGTTCTAAACCAAGCTGGACCCGATTTTTGCGTATTTCAGAAGATCCCTTTGGGCCCCTTACTGGGCTTAGGGTTCAGGGTTTAGGATTTAGGGTATAGGGTTTAGGGTTTAGGGTTTGTATAGGGTTTAGGGTTTAATGAATCTCGAATCTCGGAAGACGAAGCCAGCCGACAAGGGGCAAGCTGAAAATGCTTGTGATTTTTGTGATTTTTGGGGGGGGGGGGGGGGGGGGGGGGCGGGTCCACAATGAACAAGCTCAGAACTGAAGAACCAGGAGCCTAAAACACCGAAGACAGAAACGACATGCAACTACTAAAGCCGCGAAAAAAGAAGCCGGGGCATAAAACATTTGAGAACCAACCCTCCCTGGTGCGAGGTGGCAGCTGGCAGAGAGTGATCTGAAGGTTCTTTACGTGCCTTGGCTCCCTAAATGCTGAATGCTGGGAATTTGGCACAGGCTTCCAGATCAAAGTGCAAGTTGCAATCCCAGCAACCCTAAACCCTAAACCCTAAACCCTAAACCCGAAGGTTGCCAAAAACCCAAGGGCCCACGGACAAGTCAAATCTGTGTCGGTGACCAGGTGCCGGTGCCATTGCTGTGGATCCTTCCCTGCAAGAAGGCCCTGGCGTTCCTGCATCTTGAAGTTTAGGGTTTAGGGTTTAGGGTTTAGGGTACTTACTTCAACGATACCGACAAGCTTCAATTCTAGGCCGCTTCCAGGAGCCCCGCGACGTTGAAGCGATTAGTTCTCTGGTGTGCCCTCGTAATTTGAGGTCAGACGTCCAGTGCGCTGATGCAGGGTTTAGGGTTTAGGGTTTAGGGTTCTGGGTTTAGGGTTTAACATAGATCCTTTGAGAGACTGGTCCCAGCCCGGCGGGGGGAACGGGGAATATCAACCCCCCCCCGCTCCCCCACCGATTGGTTCCGCGGCCGCACCGACAACCGGGGTGCGTCCAGAGCGCCGGGGGAGGGGCCCAAAGAAAGAAAGACGGAGACCGAGGGAGGCAGAGGGTTCAGGGTTCAGGGTTTAGGATCAGGGTCCGGGATTAGGGTTAAGAGAGCAGCAGAACAAACAACTGAGAATAATGCCATCCGACAAGATACTCTACTTCGCAGTTTTTTTGCTGACTCCTGATGCAAGGCGGAACTCCGCACTTTCCCATGGTACGACTGTCCTCTCTACAAGGCATCGGACCGAGAGTCGTTAGAGCACGAACGTTGCGTGGCGAGCTATGTGGGCCACAAGAGTGTTGGAGAAGGAGAACGGTTGGCGCCTTGAACCTGGGCCCACGAGCTCTGCACATCTGCACAACACATGATGGATGTAGTTGAGCTGATCTAGAGTTGCGAACTTCTTCTGTGCTTTTTTTGTAGAAAGTATGGCTGTATCGTACTTTGAGCTTCGCATGGTTCGATGTGAAATGTCCTTCGCCTGTCTTTCCAGCAAGGGGTCGGCGTGTTTGTGCTTCAGGTTTACCGTTTTAGGTTTCGATATAACTACAGTAGGGCAAAGGACGGCAAAGATGTGTGAACGATCATGTTAACCCTAAACCCTAAACCCAAAACCCTAAACCCTAAACCCTAAACCCTAAACCACTCGATGTCCATGTGACAGGTGTCTACGAGAAAGGGAGTCCTGTCGACCACCGGCCACAGCACCAACTTCGTTGAGGGCTGAGTACCGTCACTAAACCCTGAACCCTAAACCCTAAACCCTGAACCCTAAACCCTTGAAGCAGTTGCATCCTGAGGGGGGGCAGTTGCTGCTTTGTTGTCAACGTCGGGCTCGCCGTCGCAATTGAGTGCTGTCAAAACTCGGCTCCCTTCCCTCCTCAACCTGAGAATGCTCTTTCGGCTACTACCCCTCTAAACCCTCGTTCCCGACATCGATCCTAGACCCGAAGGCTCAACAGGTATTTTCACAAGAAACCTTGGGATGAGGGCATCAATTGAGGGCCTGAGGATGCTTGAGGGTTTTTAGGGGTTTCCGGATCAGGTCTGCCAAGGGTGAAAGGAGTGCTGGGCTCGCCATGGCAAAGCCCACCCGTCAAACTTGCTCCAAGCAGTTCCGTCTTAGTCACAAAACACTTGCGAACCCGCATCCACATCCTCCACAATTCCGATCACTCGAGCCCGTAACCTTTTAACGGAGGGCGTATTTTTCCAATGCCCCTGTTTTGTTTCGCTCCTTGTGTTTTTTGTCCCGTAGGTCCCCTCGCACATGTTTTTTGCCAATCAGTTTCAGACAGTTCTTTAACACCCTGACAAAAGCCAGCACAGAAGCTGCATCCATCGTGACAAACATTGTGTTTGCACAGGGGGTCCGGCGCTTTCAAGCCATGCAATTTGCTTCAAAGAATGGTGCCAATGCGTGCCGTCAATGGACATTCCTTCAAAATCCATATGAATCCTTTCCAAACCCCATGGCGGTGCGGCTGTCCCCCCACCCCCACCCCACCCCCCGACACCCCCTCCCCGCCAAGCAAGCCGTGTAAATTCAATCAGGGAATTGAGCCTCTTCGTAGCATCGCCCAGATAGAGGTCTACTATTTCAACAAAAAACCCTGGCTGCCATCATGAAGCGCAAGAGAAAACAGGGGGTTATCAGAGTGGAGTACAGAGGACTTTAAGGCTTTAAGGTGTGCAATCAAGAGTATTGAGAACATGGAGGTTTCTGAAGGGACCTGTCATGGGGCCTACGTTTTCCGAATGTTCACAAATCCATGAACTCTTCAAGCTTGTGCTTTCCTGAGTTCGTACATGTGGCTTCAACCGATTCAGACCCCTGAGCCCTCCAATCAAGCTCCTACCTCCAAACCCTAAACCCTAAACCCTAAACCCTTAAACCCTGTCAACATAAGGTGATGCCCATCAAGTTGCGCTCCTCTCACCCAGCTGCTTTGCTGCATGCGAAGTTGAGGGATGAATGTTGGTTGAAGTGCCTGTCCATATAATATATATATATATATATATATATATTTATTTATTTATTTATATATTTATTTATTTATACATTTATATTTATATTTTATTTTTATATTTATTTATATATATATATATAGCTCTTAGTCGGACCACAATCCTGGCGAAAATTGGCAAGATCCACATCGCAAAGCTGGGGCTTCGGGGCTTGAGCAGCGCCTGTAGAAGTGGGTTTCTGGGTCATCCATGAGTCCGCGGATAGACTTAGAGGATCTTAGAGGCAAGATGATGCCCGTATGTCCATCAAGCTGACCCATAGCACTATTGCATCATTACGAGAAGCCGCACTCCCAGCATCTCCTACGTGCGACATGGTATGCGTCACGTCCTGCTGTCAAGGGCAAGGGCTGAGCTCTAGCTCTAGCATGGGAGTACATGTGCCCATCCCCAGCAGAAGCGCCTATGGAAAGCCTGTCCTGCTTTGCATCAGATGTATATAAGTGGAGCACCCTGAAGTCTGCACCGCACTTTGAAACGCGGTCTCAAGCTACAGCTTTTGCCTCCACATGGCCATCGTCAAATCCGAATCTTTGTTCACAAAACCCAATCCGGGCTTGGACATTGACATGCTTGCGCGATTGTTGCACATAGGTCACCTGTTTCGTGTAACTTACAGACTCAAAGCGGCATGACAAGCATAAGAGGTTGTTCTGCTTTTGCATCGTGAAGCTTTGTAAGATCCTGATCTGCTACTAAAGACCCTAAACCCTAAACCCTAAACCCTAAGCCCGCCGGCAAGGAGTCCCACTGGGTGAAGCGGGGCGTGGCAATGCTGACGCAGTTAGATGCGTGATGGCAGCGGCTCACCTGTGCGACCTCTCGAAAGGGGTGATGGCTTCGACAATATGAGGGTTGAGGGTTTAGGGTTTAGGGTTTAGGGTTTAGGGTTTTTGGGCTTATAGGGGTGCCCCTAAAATAGACCCCCAAGTAGTAGGATTCCCTTGCCCAATAAGGTACCCCTAATTTCGGCAACCCCCATTATGAAGTTCAAGCGCGGGCATAAGGGAGAACATTTGCTTCGCGATTATACATCAGTTAAAGACAGCGCCGCTTCAGTCTTGATCCAAGCCCGCAGGAATAACCCTAAACCCTAAACCCTAAACCCTAAATATTGTATTGTTTTAATATCAAGACGGGGACTGTGAGAGGGCACTTTACGGTGCCCTTGTTATCCCGTTTACAACAAAGATTTCCTGGACCTCTTGGTATTCTTTAAATGGAGAGTCCCTGAAAGTTGGTGTTTGTTGTTTAGTTTTGGTTTGGTCGTTTGTGTTTTTGAAAGTCTTGCCATCCTAGCATAAGAGTCCCTGATTGGTTTTTGGTTTTGGGGGATTTCTACAGGGACATTTTCTGCGACATCGTGCATTTCCTAGTCCTTTTGTCAAGCTAGACACAGAGCCAAACTACAAAAATTGTACAGATCATAGTCGCGCAAAGATTGGCGCAACATTGTGAAATGCGTGCTTGCATGGGAACACCAAACCTGAAATTCCAGCAAGGTCGTATTTCGGTATTGTCATTACAGGCCCCTGGACTCCATACTAGGGTTTAGGGTTTAGGGTTTAGGGTTAGGGGCTTAGGGTTTAGGGTTTAGGGTTTAGGGTTTAGGGTTTAGGGTTTAGGGTTTAGGGTTTAGGGTTTAGGGTTTAACGCATGCATCTGGGTTCCAGGTCCCGTGGACAATACAGGAGAAGTCCCATGACCCGCTGGAGACTCACTCCCAGAGTCTCAAGTCCTGCACTAGTTTACATCCTTTCTGGGGTTTAGGGTTTAGGGTTTAGGGTTTAGGGTTTAGGGTGTATCATCATCCCTCCCCACCCCCCCCCCCCCCTCCCCCGAATCCGAACCATACAACCTGTGCCCTCAACCTTGCATCATCCGAAACAAGGAAAAAATCATTCAAGAAATGTTGAGGCGTGAGCTCTTGCCAGAAGAGAACACACGCAGAGCCTTTAAAATCTGCAAGGTAGCTACCTTCCCATGGCTTCCTAGACACGTCATGGACTTAAGATGAGCTAAGATGTTCCATCAGCGGCGCTCTCGCCTGTCTCAGCTCATTTGGTGCCCTTGCTCATGTGACTTCGGCTTATGCTGCGGATCATCTACAGAACCTGTTGAATGTTCCAACAGCCTGCTGAGCTGTGGGAAGGGAGCAGCAAACGCTTTAGCGCACGGCCCGTGAGGCGGTACGTCCCGATGCGAAGCATGCGAAGCATGCTTGGACTTTGGGCAGGATGCCGCCGTGGTTTGGTGTCGATGGGTCATTGCTTGAATCGTTTCAGCAACCACGGCTACCTTCAACCGCCTGAATCTCCAAGGGTTTGAGAATGTGTGGCTATGCATACTTAAAGAAACTCAATTCTCCACTGGCTCTTTACCGAGTCTTTCCGAAGTCTTTCCCCCCGACTTGACGAGTTTTTTGACCCAAGGGGCCACCGAGGGAGGCCAAAGCGCCTCAAAGCGCGCAAACGGGGTCGGCAAATCGACAAAACAGAAGGCGCCGGGTTACAATGCAAAGACAGGCGATACAAATTCTTGAGGGGTCGTACTTTAGTTCGTCTGCTTCAAGCCGAATCATTCTATGAGGTCGGTAGATGTAATGCACTTTCGAGGAGCACTACCCCCGCTGCACAGAGGGTTCCATATGGTCATACCATAGCATCAAGTCAAGTGCGGCCGAGACAACCCCGCACTCCCCGCACTTTTTCAGCTCTGGGCAAGACTGACCCCTGAGTTGGCCGATTTTATCGCAGCATTCTCAACATTCCTCAACCCAGCCTAATACCCTAATCGTTCGTATGTGTCCACAGAAGTGCCTTAATATGCACGGCAACCAAAGTTCTGAACTCTAAACTCCCGTGTTCTTCCCATGCTTCTCTGGCTCAGCTGCTGAGCACGGGGAGGGTCGAGCAGTCCGGCATGGCGCCGAAGAAGAGGCCAGAGTCGTTTCTGCAAGCTGAAAGCCGAAAGGTTTAGGGTTCAGGGTTCAGGGTTTAGGGTTTAGGGTTTAAAGTTTAGGGGGGTTTGGGGTTTAGGGTTTAGGGAGTTTAGGGTCAAAATTATGGTCTCTTTGTTGTTGATATTTGAATACGGAACCAACATCTAGGATAAAGGTATCATAAGTTTGACAACCACCCAAATGAGAGTCATGAGGCACGAGCCCGAATTTGGATGGGTGAACTCGGAATGTAGGCACTTGTCTATCTGAACGCATCTGAGGCATTCTTCCAAAATCCGAGCAGAGTTGGAGTAGCCGCGACTAGTAGCTTCTGACAATGCCTCGATCCTGGCTCTTCTAAGTGCCTAAATGTTCTCAGAAGACGAACAAACATAATAACAACAATACTGAAAGCAATAGTAACAATTAATAATGGCAAGAATAATAGTAATAGTAATATCAGTCCCTTCAATGGCTTCAATGCCCTACGATGGGATTGGAAGCACCGTGCTCGTGGCCTCGTGCCAGAGGCATGCAGCGCAGATGCAGCACAGTATCTGTTCTGGACGGGAGACAAGTTTGTCATTGTCAACTCTTCTAAAACACAGCTGGACGGCCTAGCTTATCTTCCACAGGCTCTACAAGCTTATCCTAGCTTATCTTCCAAGCTGAAGGTCGCAGCCCCATGCACCTTGCAGCCTCACGGCTTGGGGGGAGCGAACCGACCCTGCAAAAGGGATTACGGGTTCCATGCTAGA